ATAGTCCTGAGCTAGGTCATAGGCATCCTGCCGTGAAGTGCCTTTTGGGCCCATGACTGCTTAATGGTGTCTGTTATTTATGTGTTTAGCTATGTCTAGGTGCTTAGAGTATAAGTTTATAGGTGTGTGTGGTTACTGTCTGCCAGAGTTATAGATTTATGTAATCTTGATGTTTCTTGGTTTTTTGTGGAAAAACTCCCACAGTGTCAGAATCTGTTTGTAATGCAGGTTGACTATATTAGTCAGTCCACAGCCCCCTTCTTTATGAGGAAGAGTTAGTTTTTCTACAAAAGATTTTGGATGTATTGTTTACGCTTAGTAAGTGTTGTTCTAGTTTTCCTTTGGAGTTGCTCAAGATCTGTGTGTGTCCAACGTATAACTTCAAAGAATAAGTGAGTACAGGGTCATATATTAATAGCTTTAATAGTATGTTTTGCATTTAGATGTGTTCTTTGTACTGCATGTTCTGGTAATCGAGTGTTAATCTTTGTTTTATCTGTGCATGTTCTGTAAGTTTGGCCTGTTGGAATCCAAATATTTGTAAAACTTGCCCTTTTCCATGGATTTGATAATATCTCCACTTCTGAGTACAGTCTCCTTTATTCAGAACTCCTGTTTTCAATGTGTAGTGTTTATTTGTCTAGACAAAAACTCCATTTGTATAGCATTTGAGTATGTGTGTAGTTTGTAAGAGATGATGAAGCTGATTCTGTATGGATGCATAAAGTTTGATATTGTCCATGTACAGTGTGATAATGTGAACAGTGTTGTTTTATTTTGTGTGATATTGCAACCATATTGTATTTTGTTTAATGTATTAGATAAATGGTTAAGTGCAAGGCAGAACCAAAGAAGACTCAAGGAATCTACTTGAAAAATTCCTCATTTTATTTATATTTGATTTGTTTTTGTGTGTGTCTTATGGCAGTTAATATGTAATGTTGTTCTCCAGTGAAGCATGGTATAATCAAAGAAACTAATGAGTTGGGATGAATTTTGTAGATGCAAAGTGTGTGGGACACTGTTGAATGCTTTTCTGTAATCAATGTATGCCATGTGCATGGTTCTGTGTTACTTATGAACTTGCCATAGAATAAGAGATTATTATTTACATGTACACATGTAAATATGTTGACGGGTAACTTACAACTATATAAATACTTAATAATTTGAAAACAGATTTTTTGATTTATTCAAGTGTGTACAATATTTATTCAAATGATGTTCATAGATAAAGCATATATAAATTGTTCAGTTATTTCATTATTTTTCATATTATTAGCAATCAATACTGCAATTTTTAATTCTGATTCTTAGTAATGGTGATTGTAGAAAATAACCAAATTTCTTGAATATTAAATTAAACTGCTAAAATGTAATGTTGAAATTTCTTAAAACTCCAAAAAAAGGTTATATTTTATTTTACTTAATGGTATTTTATTTAATATTTAGATAATTTCATTTTAAGTTAATGTTTTAAAAAGGATTTTAAAAATAATTATAGTTTATTCACAATTTCTGGTGTACACATACTACCACCACCACCACCACCACCACCACCACCACTGTCTGACCTCAGAAGATGACATTTTATGCTTGAAAGTGTTAAAGTGCACCAAATTTTTGTTTACAAATTCTAATATAGACATATTTCAATCAGAGATTGCTCTGGGAAATTTTAAAACATTGCCAACTATTTCTCCAGTTTTAAATTATTTATTGCCACCAATTTTACTTACTAATTAATGCAAGTGCTTTTAGCCTTATCAGTTTGGAGTCTTGAATGAAAAACTAACATGTTAAGCTGCCACTTAGAAATAGGAATCATTTTTGAATAATATTTTTAATGAATAATTCTGAATAACACATTTGATCACAATGCTTAAACAGTATTTTCACACGTTCTGTTGTCAAGATTTTTATGCTTTAGTCTACTGAAAAAAGATCAAAGTGAAAAAAATGTCACACCCAACAATTCCTCAATTATTCTGTCAGTCAATAAAAAAATTCCCTATCTGGAAATGATGGGCGGTATTGCATAAAAACTGCCTTCAGTTCTCAACATCACTTCCTACTTTCCTGTTCAAACTTGCTGTGTGATATCATGATATCACTAGGTGTGTGGTGAATGGGACTCCCATATCACAGGAGCATGACATTCTGCTGTTTTTTTTTTTTTTCTTGAAGCATTCTTTGTGATTTAATTTCATGCGGAATGTTGAAATAAGCAGTCTAGAATTTTTATCTCCAAGAGGCAATTTTAGCACAATGCAGTGTGATTTTTTTAAAGTGAATATTTTAAATAATTTTTTAAAGTGAATATTTCCTTAAAGCAAAACATAGCCTCTTTTTCCCCCCTCACTTGCCAATGTATGTATAGATAAAAGCCTAAAAGCATATTTATAATATCATTTATTAAGCATTAAGCATGCAGTAGCATTAGATTTTAACATATGATGTAAAAATAATAAATGAATAAATCCTGAAAACTCTCTTAAAAACATGGCAAGAACTGAAAATAATAAATGTGACTAATCGAAAAGTGCCATTGTAGTGAAGTGCTATAAGGTATATCCATACATTTGCTATTAACCAAATTTTTAATATTTACCTTCTGCTAAACTATTTGCTGAACTGTTTGTCATTTGGTGAGTACACATGTACATATGCTCAATTATTTGCTGAGCATTGATTTATTGCAGGAGTGAGGAATGTTCATCCAAGATCTAGAAAATGGACATTCTCAAACAATTTGTGCCACTACTCTCATAGTTTCATAGTTCATATCTGTTAATGAAAAACAGCCTAAAGGAAGATGGTGGATGGCACCATTTCACCAAAGCAGAAAAATGTGAATATTAAAAAGAAAGGATTTTTAAAAAACAGCACAATAAAATCATATTGCGAAAAAGACAGGAAAAAAATAAACATTTAAACTATAAACCCCAATTCAAAAAAATAAATTAAATGTAAAAATAAGGCTAGATCTAGTTTAAAAAAGACTAAAATAGACCAAAAAACAAGAAAATATACAAATGTGAGTACGAATTCATGGGGGTAAACATTCATCCTTTTTATTCGGGACAATTATTTTATATAGTGATGAAAAGAGCTAAGTAAACTTTAAAATTTTTTTTCTATTTAATTTTTTAAATGTGAATAGTATCTGTAATATACATTATTTGTTTTAAGAGCTATCTGGTGTCTAGCTTAAGTTTGGAATAGTATCTTGCTCAATGGTACTATTGGCAAGAATGATTATCAGACCAGATAAAGTAAATAAGTGGTAAATAAATTAATTGTTATTAACATCACTGTAGTTGATTTTACAAAGTTTGCATGTACTGTACATGTTACAGAATTTAATAATATGAGTTCAAGAGTTGACCATTTATGTTTCTCTGTAGTGAATAAGAGCTGTGCTGAAATTGACAATAGTTTTCTTAGTTATTAGGTATATAGTGGAAATTATCAGAAATGTACTGTACTACTTCTCAAGATATAAGCTTGAGTAGAAATGTGTGATAATATCAGTTATTAATACAAAGTAATTTGGTGTAAAGATATGTAGTTATGCAACTTCTTGTACTAATATTAATGATCAAATATTCCCTCATGCATTTCTGGCTCCATAGTATTATCTGTATTACATGCTTAATTTCAGGTAGCCAACTGTTTAAATTTACCAGGAAAGAATGTTTTCATCCTGTTTTAGGTGAGCTTTAGCTTCTTAAAATGTCATGTTCAAACTGAATTCAAACATTTTATATTGTTTTTGATGGATCAAACAATATTTCAAATGATACATTTAATATAGATAATAATAATGATAAAAATTTAATTTAAAAAATTAATATAAACAATTTAGAATATTAAGAAAAGATTAACCCAGGACAGAACTCAAACTTTCAACTTCTGCTTACCATGCAGGTACTTTGCCAGTTATGCTATTTAAACTTCTGGGTTTAATATTTATTTTCAGACCAATTAATTTTTAACTGTACAGGTTAAACCAAATTATTTTTATCAATAATTAATGGTTAACCAGATATAGCAAGATATAACCTGAAATAATCTGGCATTTAGAGATTTGATTATTATAAAGTTCACATTGGTTGTTTAATACATGCATATTTTTTCAAATTTATAAATCTCTTGTATTCTTGTTTCACATCTTTTTTGAAGATATTTTTAGATATTAAAATGAAACTACTTTATTTATTTGCTTTACTTGAATTTAATGGTTAAAGACTTTATTTTTCTCTTACTACATTAATAGATTCTGTTCTAGAAATAAGAATTATATTTGAGTTTGATTTTTCAGTTTTTTAGTTTTTAAATACTTATATACTATTAAACTTCCTATATATATATATTTTAAATATTAACCTGAAAATTTGTATATTTAGGCTAGAATTTTAATAAAAATATCTAATTATGTAAATTATTAGTGTTATTAATGAGTCATAATTTCCATTTAACAGTTTTTTTTTAAAATTAATTTACTATAATAATTCTACTATATATATAAACTAATATACTAATATAAACTATTTTATTTGAAGTTAGAAAAATAAAGCAGTTCTGTGTTAGTTAGTTTAGTTTGAATATTTGAGAGCAACTTTGAAAATTCAAAATTTTTACATTATTATCTGATTACTTGTCATTTTGACTTCTAAAGAATACTAAGTTAGACACTTTCTGATGTCTTTAGATATATATAATTTATGGCAATTTACTAGAAAGTAAATTTACAGCATTTACAAATCAAAGATAGGATTTCAATTGAATAAACTAATGCTATACAATAAAAATGCTATTGCTACACTGTTTTTAATAGTTTCTTTGACAGTTGACACTTAGTCACAACATATATTCTGTTCAAAATGCTATATAATGTGTTATGTCCTTGTATTGCACTAATGATGATGTAATAGCATGTTTGATGATGATGTCAGGACATTGTTTTGTCTAATAATAATGACAAGTATTTCTTCAAGGTGGAAACATGAAAATTGCTTTATATCAAATCTGGATTATGTCAAGGGTAAGTTGGTATTTTTCATTATCGTTTTTCAAATTCTGAATCTTTTTTTACCATGTTTATTTTGGCACCCTATCTGAGTTATCACATCATTGCTATATACTTCTACAAGCTATTGAATGTTATTGGTTGCCGACACTTTTTCTCACAAAAATTATTGTATAACTTGATTATAAAACTGATCTTGCTTAGAAAGATCAGTTTCCACTAGTATTATCTTGTTAAACTGTTACAGTTGTGCTCTTCTGTCGTATGCCTAAGTCATGTGGCTATAAATACTAGAATCTCATTAGAAATATTAACATTTAAAATTATCAATTTCAGTGCCTTTAATAAAAATACTTATAATTGGATCACGTAGTAAATTTATATTATAAAAATAAATTATTGAATTACTCGATTACTGTGTTTAGTTTTTATTTCAAACTTGCTGTGTGATATCATGATATCACTAGGTGTGTGGTGAATGGGACTCCCATATCACAGGAGCATGACATTCTGCTGTTTTTTTTTTTTTCTTGAAGCATTCTTTGTGATTTAATTTCATGCGGAATGTTGAAATAAGCAGTCTAGAATTTTTATCTCCAAGAGGCAATTTTAGCACAATGCAGTGTGATTTTTTTAAAGTGAATATTTTAAATAATTTTTTAAAGTGAATATTTCCTTAAAGCAAAACATAGCCTCTTTTTCCCCCCTCACTTGCCAATGTATGTATAGATAAAAGCCTAAAAGCATATTTATAATATCATTTATTAAGCATTAAGCATGCAGTAGCATTAGATTTTAACATATGATGTAAAAATAATAAATGAATAAATCCTGAAAACTCTCTTAAAAACATGGCAAGAACTGAAAATAATAAATGTGACTAATCGAANCCAAAAAGAAAACGCTCTCGGTTAATTAATAGTGTTTTTAGTGATGACGAAGAAAATATTGTTTAATTTATATTAATATGTATTACTTAAAAAATTTTAATGAAGATATTTATCTTAATTATGAAAATATACTAGCATGTTTTTTTAATTTTTGGAACCTAACCCTCCTTTTCGTATTAGTTCTTTGTTTCGTATAACACGGATTCGCATAACACGGCAATTTTTTGGAACGTAACTACCATGTTATACGGGGGTTACCTGTATGTAATTTTAACAAAATATATATGTATGAAAACATCTATAAACAAACAACAAGATTTTGTTACCATCAATGGTTTGAATGTTCAGATTATAAATAGTGATAACTTGTACTTGGAGTGCAAAATTTGGCAAAAATTTGCTTTGGAGTTCAAATGATGCTTCAAAGTTTGAACTGTGTGCACAGTGAAAAACACACTTGAAGCATAAAATAAACTTCTGAACAAAGAATACAATTTCAAATTAGCAATAATTGTTAAATTTTACAACTGTTATAATTAAATTGCATGTCTATGTTAAGTATGGACAACTGTTAAAAACATGCAAATCTTTCTGTTCACTCCAATATAATGGTTACTTGTTAATCATGGCATCCTAGAAGTGTGTGAAAACAACCAAAGTCTAAGAGGAATATTGACTATTGAGATGAGAAAAGAACTTATTGTGAAGCACTAAAATGATATATGTGATTTTTGGTGGCTGTGTTTAAGATGTTGAAATCGATGGTGTACGATCAGTAAATGCAATTTTCTTTTTATTATAGAGTACTTACACATCTTATTTGTTTTGTGTTTTAATTTATAATTAGGATATTTAATTGAGTTATTTTTACTTTAAATTAGGTGTATTTCAGTTCTACTACTCAAACCTTTAAAATGTAGTACAATTTTAATTTTCAAGTGTTTTTGGTTGTCTTGAAAAACCTTCAGAACATAGAAATAAATTTGTTATAATGAAAGCCGGAATATCTCCTGGAACAAGTTGATTTTGAATATTAACAAAAAAAAAGTTTTTTTGTTGTTTTAATGAAGGTTAGTTAAGATGACTGAAAACATTTGAAAATTAAAACAGTACTGGATTTTAAAGGTTTGAGTAGTAGAATTGTGGTTTATGACAAATGCAGTTTTCAGAGAGGTGTATTTGCTGTTTTAAATTTATCAAAATGGAGATTGTTTAGGGTCTGGGAATGGATTATTTCACTTTCCATTATTTCTAATGGGGAAAAATTGAATATTACTTTGAATGATTCAGAGCTCAAATGGAATGAATTAAATTTGAAGTACAAGGCAAGAGGATAAGTGCTAAAACCAATCAAGAATAATAATAGGTCATAAGGCAGTGTTATTACTTTGCAAATGGTTGCTTTTTGGATTGGTTGAACATGAATCTGAAAGTGTTACAGGTCTCAGTTAATAAAGGAGCATGTTCTTGATGAAATAAGTGTGTGGGTGATGCAAAGATTTACAGATATTGGTGTTAGATTTCAATTTATACTTATTGCAGACAGCATTAGCAAGTGTGTGTGTGTTGGTTTCATGTAACTTCTGTTTGACCCATGTGGGTTTTTATGCATTTTGCTTTGGAGCTCAAGCCAAGAGACCAGGTTTGTTAGGGTTAAACTCTAATCATTTATGAATAAATTCATAACTAGTATTATCTTTTTTATGCAATGAACACAATTTTCAAGCTAAAGTTAGTTTTTCCTCAAATCAAATCAAAATAAGTGTTTCAGTATTGAAATTTGTTCCTTTTTACAAAATAATGTAATTAAGAATTAGCCAAAAAATGAGTAACTCCCCATAAGCTTCCTGGTCTTTTATTAACAGGAAATTTTATTCTGAAGACAAGTATATTATGGATAGGAAGATGCCTTGTCATTTTATTTATTAATTAATGTAGTTTCCATTCGTATTGATTCAATTGCCATATTGCTTTGCCTGGTTAAAGAAACTTTTCTTATAGAATACTATGCATACAGATGAAATTTCAAATGGCTTTTTCCATTTCCTAACTTTGAAAGATGCACTAATAGGGAAGTTGTTGCCTTATGATCTGAACTATAAGGGGAATTGTTTGAGTTGTTTCCAACCAAATTTGGCAACTTGAGATAATGATGCCAATTACACTTGTTAATAACCATTACACTCATTACTTGAGCTATAGATTTTTTTGATTTTGCTATTTATGATAGCATATTAGCAGTATATTAAATATTTTTTGATTTAATGTACTGCACAGTACATCATATATAGTGAATTTTCTTCTGGAGAACTTCATTTAAAGAAAGGGGATTATCATATTCAAATATGCTTTAATTTTAGATTCAGTAACCCTCAAAAATTATTGAATTATTTATATTTATTTTATCATTTAAAAAGTCTTTTTTAAAACAACTGTGGATACCTTCTTCAAAAAACCTTTTGACATTTAAGGTTTCTTGATTTTGGGTTTTGTTTTTTGGTGCTATTTTCACATTTAATTTCTTGTAAGAAGCCTAATACAGTAGAGTGTCTTTTATCCGAAGGAATTCCAGTCGACAAATTTAAATTTTCGCCAGTGCTGTGGCACTGTAATCTTTGGCTATGTCTTCGGCTACTCAAATATTTTACGTTTTTGATACTAAATTAACTTCTGAAGTATGATTTTTTATTGTTTTTATATTTTTCAATATATTTATTTTGTTTGTACAAAATAAAAAAATAACTTTTAACGATACCATAGTCTTCGTTAGGCTTAACATTGACGAAAATTCAACGCAAAGCGACACGCAACGGAAAAAAATTTCAACATGGGATAAATTAATATATTTTTTCATACATAATCGGTTATCCGAAAAATAAGTTATCCGTACAACCCCAGTCCCCAATTGATTTGGATAAATGACACTCTACTGTAATCTAATATTTTCTTCTAACCAAGAAGCTCCTTTTCATGTTTTGCTAATCTTAAAAGATATGATGAAAAGCTCTTTTAGTTAGTTATTTGTAAGTTTATGGCTTTGCAGAAGTTGACTTGTGGTTAAAAATTGCTTCTGCTTAATTTTCCAACCATTAACAAAACTATTATTCATTTCAGCTCAAGATTTATTTTTTATTGACTTCATCCAAGCCATAGTGATAGGTGTGTTATAGACAGCATAACTGTCATGTTTATTACAGAACTGAGCATTAGGCTTTTTCAAACTCTCTTCATGTATTGCTGTGACATTTTATTCTAAACAGTCTTGATGACCTGATGGAAGATAAATCATTTTTGTAAATAAAACATATAAAATATTGAAATACAGTAGAGCATCGATTATCCAAATGTTGATCAGCTGAAATGTCTATTAACCGAAAGCTTTCCAGTTGGCAAATTTAAATTTCCGCAAGTGCTGTGGCACTGCAATCTTTGGCTATGTCTTGGGCTACTCCAATATTATTTTTGTTGGTGTGCATGCATGTTTTAGCTGACAGCATTGGCACGACCATGAGAGGATACTTAAGGACATGCCAGGATTTGAACGAATTTCATCATGGGATAGGTTAATATATTTTTTCATACATTATCGGTTATCTGAAGAATCGATTTTCCAAACAACTCCAGTCCCCAATTGATTCTGATAATTGATGCTCTATTGCAACAGTCAGCAACCGATGGTTCACGAGAAAATTTGGGTAGTCTGTGGAGAAATTTGAACATTGATCAACTGAAGGTTACGCGAAGTATTACGAATGCAATGCAAAATGCTTAGTTGCTTTTTCCACTCATTGGGGTTTTTTATTTGAATCTAAAACCAAAAATGAAGTGACTGTTATCAGTAAATAATGAACAATAAATAATATTGTGATGCGATTGTTGTCTTTCGTGGAAAAGTGTGAAGAATCCATAAACTTGTTTCAAACAAGCAGCAATGAATTTAGGCTTGTATTAATTTGTTATAATTAAAGATGTGAGTTTCATATTAATATAGTAAAATTGAACTTTTGTGATCATTATTCTACAGATTTTGTATTGTTTAAAAAATTCATGATAATGGTCCATGGTTGTTTATATATAGGTCAGGGATGTCCAGCCTTTTTGAGTCCATGTGCCATATAGTAAGCATAGTTGTTTTTGACACTCATAAATATTTTTAGTTTTAAACTTTGAATAACAATATCTAAAGAAATGAAACAAATATGCTTTAATTAGAATAAATTAAAGAAGCTGATGAAAAAAGAATAATCTGGTGATAAACCAAAATCATATGATACATTGAGTGCCACATGATTTCTCTCAATGTGCCATCTTGGGCATGAGTGCCATAGGTTTGCCACCCTTGATATTGGTAGTCAAGAATATATATATTCCTGACAATTTTTGGTCAAAATCACATTTATTATGATGAATAAGACTCATGTTCACCATTGCTTGTTTTTTCCTCATTATCATTTATTGTTACATTTGTGTGATCCCTTCATTTATAACATTTCTGTTGCATTTATTGAAAGCAATCAATACTTAATAGAAAGTAATAAATTGATAGCATCAAATGTTATACAGTAATACCTCGACTTACGCAAACTCGGAGTTACGCGATTTTCAAATCTTGTCGATTTGTCTTTTGTTTGAGCGCCACGCAACTCTCGATTACTCACTCCCCCCACACTATTGTTTAGCTTACATATTCAGACGTGTCGCGCGGAATTGACACATAGCTCCAATTTATTTTGTGTTATTTATTTCTGTGTTTGTTTGATCTACGGAGATTTGAGAGACTCTATGTGGTGATTTCTTGTAACCGTGAACGAATCAAAAGACGAGATAAGATTAACGAGAACATTTATTAGCTTACATACATCCGACTTGGATTTTACACAAATTGCAAAATTATACCCCGACTTACGCGGTTATCGCTTGGTCCCACCTATCACGTAAGTCCGGGGTATTACTGTATATAAGATTTTTAAACTTTTAAAAAACATTAGTACAGTTTTGCTATTGTATTTCTTTTTTTTTTATGTAAATAAACTAGAAAATAATTAAATATAATTAACTGCTGACAGAAAAAATTATTAATTTTTTAAACTTTGTTGTTATAAACTTATTTTGAAAATCTTAATGTTTATAAATAAGGATTATTTGAATGCATATTCATGTTTTTCCTTAAATGTTATGATGTTGAAACCTCAATATAAACACAATATGGTCAAATGGATTACGTTAAGATTATATGATGATGCATATTTTATATATGTATTTAAATATAAGAAAAATAATTTCTCAAGAGTAAAGTATTCAAATTTCTGCATATGGTGCATGTGCAGAAAGATTCCAATATATCAGGTTTGGTTCAACCAGTAATATGGATAAAATAGCAAAAACTAATACTGAATTGATAAGAAAGTAGGCACAGCAGCAGCAGTTTGGATCTGGGACATTACAATAAAGAATTTCCATCTGTTTTAAATGTTCCCCACAAATTGTTTCTTGCTAAAAAATCATTTCATGTTTCTTAGATGTTGAAACATCCTTACATCAGTGCAACATGAAGTATTAAAATGAGACTAATAGCAATTGATCATAAGTAAGTTCTAATTGCACTGAAACTAACTATAGTAAGCTCAACACACACTACATTGGAACAGAACTAGAGGAATTTTTAATTAATAATATACATTTAAATGGAATCCTACCCCACACATTTGGCCCTGATCCAATCTAATGTGTGGCAACCTGTAGAATTTGTAATATCAGTTGGAAATAAAATATTACTATCAACTTTGACACTAAATCTATAATTAGTTAACAACTTGATAAATTACTGAACATACTTATTATTTACAGGGTTATAAACAAAAATATGATTACTTCAAACCAGTGACTTAACTATAAGATAAGGGAAACTAGGTTAACCCAGTCATTCTCAACATCTTGTAAACAGTTGTATGTATAGAAGTAAATTCAATAATGATTGATTAGATAGCAAAGAAAGTTACAAAATTTTATTGAACATATAACTATATTTGTAATTGATTTGGTTATGCACATCCTACATAAAATATTATTGTAAATTGTGTTTTGTGACATTACAAATTTCAAGTCTCGTGTCGTCTATTGTTGCATATTTATCCATTCCCACCTAAAAAGTGTGATGTAATAGATATTAGCAAGATTCTCAGGCAGACAGAAATAAAATACATATGCATTTCAACCTACAAATTTTAGTGTTTGTTACTGGTGCTTTTAACAGTCATAATTCATATTTCAGGCATTTTAATATGCATATGTTTGTGCATATATTTCAATTTTAAACACTCACAAAGCTAGCCCTTAATTATAAATGATTAAGTAATTATTTGTAAAGTATTATTACTAATGTAAAATTTTTTAAATTATTGATATTCTAATTTACATTGTCATTGAGGTTACATTATTAATGATTAAAAAATTATTTCAGTTGTACTGTACGACTTGGCACGAGTAATCGACTATGAACCCGGACACGGTTCAATTGGCATCCATGTCTTCTGAACAGAATTCTGTACCGTGTAATGTAGCATCTCTCTTGGAGGAAAATGAAGTTTATGAACCATCATATAGTTATGATGAGGTTTTTCCAGCTCTTCCTGAAACTGAAGCACGTCATGAACAACCACAGGCTAACTTAGGACAGTGGAATCAAAAAATGAAAGTGAAAACTTCTGTAATCACCCAGGTAGCTTAATTTTGTTAACTAGCTTATTCTAATTTAACTAATAGTACAGATAATTGTTTTCATGTTATTAATATTTTGTAATTTTTTTAATGCTTTAGTTACACAATAACTATTATAATGCCTGATTAAATTATAAGCAATATTAGAATCATTGTTTATATACAATCTGTATATAAACAATGATTAAAATCTTGTGAAGGAAAGAATTAAAATGATTAAAAATTATTATTAACTAATTAAAATTTGTTATTTGTACCAAAGTTTATTGAAATGATTAATATTAATTTTATGAAAATATTTAAATATTTAGGTTTTCCGGGTCCCTGTTGAAGAACGAAAATTTCGGGAATTCAACAGTCAAAGATTTGGAGAACAGGGTGAACAAGCTAAAATCTGTGCAGAAATAATGCAGAGGACTGGTGCTCATATTGAGATTAGTTCATCAAAAGATCAGAGTCTTACTATTTTGGTAACTGGTAAAGAAGAAGCAGTTTTAGCAGCAAGACGTTTTATTGTTAATGAACTGCAAACTCAGGTGCATAATTTACAAGAATTTTGAAAGTTTTATTTCTAGAATAAATTTAAGAAAATTATTTATTTGCTTGAATGTTTTCTGAGTTGTTTGTTTTTTTCTTGCAGCTTTTTAAAGTTGAACAAAACTTATTAACTGTAGTTAAGGTTTAATTATTCAGACAGATATTTGTTCTAATAGTTAAATAATTAGTTTGTAAGTTTTGTTGTTAGTTAAGTAATTAGTTTTGTTGAATGGATAAATAATTAGTACTGTGGATGCAACCAGAAATTTAGAGTGGGTCACCTGCATTACTGATGGCATAAGTAGGTCTAGGTAGGTTACCAATAAAAGTGCAATTGCCCAAGATCACTAGCAACACAGTATTGTGCAAGGAGCTACCATATCAATATGGCAGCACTTTGCATGTCATACATAAACCAGTGATATGTGATAATGCTCAATAAAAAAAACAAAAAGGTTGAACAAGAACAAGTATTAAATTTTATTTTGTACCTTTTGACTGTTTGTGTAGTCTAGTTATGAGTCTGATGTGCTAGTTTTCTGTTTCATTCAGTAGTCAACGGCTTGTGACATTCTATGCAATTTAGTTCTATAAACTCCATGGAGCAGCAATGGAAGCTGGTAGAAAGTGAGAGTAGAAGACCTATTAGTGTGGGAAACGCTGCATCTTGGTGCCTTGATGGTTACATCCTTGTACTTTATATGTTTTTTGTTCTGTTTTAATTCCAAAAGTCTCTCCTAAATGCAAAGAACATTAAATGTACAGTACTTAGACAAATTACTGGCAACCAAAGGATATTTGTCAGATTGTTTTTTGCTTTTAATTTTTTTTTTCTAAAAGAATTTCATTGTAAATTAATCAGAAGTATTTTGAGATGTATAAAATGTATTATAACAACTTGAAATAAAATGGAATTATTTAGTACTATAAATTTTTTAAGTTTTTTAATTTAAATCTTCTATCTTAAAATTGTAGGCCATCATTACAATTCCCATTCCGAAAGAGCATCATCGTGTAATACTTGGAAAAAATGGTAAAAGATTGGCCGAATTAGAACAAAGTACAAACACAAAAATTATGGTACCACGTTCAGAAGAAAACTCAGATTTGATAAGGATTACAGGGACAAAAGAAGGCATAGATAAAGCTCGTCATGAAATTCAGTTGATATCAGATGAACAGGTAAATTCATTTTAATTTTTGTAATTTAAATATTAATACTTAAAGACATGGTACAATTTCATTACATTTTGTTAGTTGAATTTCAATTGTATTATCAACCTTCTAAAAACTTTTTTTGTTTTGTATAAGAAACATTTATGGTAAAAATGAGAAATATAAAGAAAGGACAATTTTAAACAGAATAAAAACTTAATTTACAAAAAAAAACACTATTAAAAGATTTTGAAAAATTATTTTAGAACCTCAAATTTTTAAATGTTGTTTCATATTTATCTTGAATTGGTTTCTATTAATCATTAAAAATTTCAAAATACTGTGAAATTATTTAAATTTGCCATTTTAAATAATTCTATTAAATAGTTCATAACTAAAGAGACTTTTTTCAAATAGGAATTTTGAAAATCAGTTTTCAATTTTTTTTTTTTTTTTTTCAGGCTAAAATGGCTTTTGAAAGGTTAAACATTCCAAAAATATATCATCCATTTATAACTGGCCCTTTTAATAACAACATTGTTCAACTTTCTGCTGAAACTGGTGCACGGATCAATGTTCCTCCTCCTAGCATTCAGAAAGATGAAATTACTATTGCTGGTGAAAAAGAAGCTGTTGCAAAAGCAAAAGAGTGCATTTTAAAGATTTATGAGGAAAAGGTAAATTTTTAAATTTGTATGTGTGTGATGTATTCTGTAAAACTCATAATTACTCATTTAATGCTATTAAAATTTACAATCATTGTAAAATGAAAATGAAAATACATTATCTTTTACTCTTTTAGAGATAATAAAAATAAAAAAATTATCTAAATTATAAATTACAATTATTTTAAAAAACCAAATAAAAAAATCTTTAGAAGTTTTGTATTCAATTTCTTTGTAAAAACAAATATAATTTTGAATTTTTAAAATTATATTAATAGTATAGAATTGAAGAAAAGATTATTTATGAATAATAATTTCAGAAATAAATAAATTGTAACTTTTAAATTGTATACCATTCTGAATAGCAAGATAAAATCTCACTGTCCCACCATGGATGTAAATAATTTCTTTGTCCAGTGTATGCACATTGTATATGCCATCTGTTAATTAGTACATTAGTAGCCATCTCAGTTATCAGATCTACAGTTGCATTATTGCAGTACAGTACTTGTGTTCAAGTAAGTCTTCATTTGGTATCCCTGGTCATTCTGCAATCCTTAGAGAAGGATTGCAGAACGACCAGGGATACCAAATGGAAATCATAAGGAAACTTAAGTCTTCTTTTACTTAATGGTCCCAAAGTGCAAGTATAGTAATACTGGTAATTTGGATGCACCAAAGTGAAGCTGTAAAGTGTTTCTTCATTTGCATTCTGATTGAAAAATAATAGAAATGGAAAAGTTTATTTTTACTTATTACAATTAAAAGGATCAATGATTTATAAAGAAAAATTTATTAATGATATTACAGTAGAGCCTCGATTATCCGACCCAATTGGGGACTGGGGTTGGTCGGATAATTGAAAAGTCGGATAACCGAAAAGTATGAAAAAATCCATTATTAGTGTAGTATATTATTATATCCAATGTAATTAGTATATTAGTATATCGCTATTAACCTACTTCGCGTTGAATTTTCATCGATGTTAAGCCTAACAAAAATTTTTTAAAATAATAATCGTCGCTATTGTATCGTTAAAAATTAGAAAATTAAGCCTCGTTTAAATACTGGCTCCCTTTCATGGTCGAATGAGTGTTGCCAGCTAAAACACGCAAAAATAATATTAAAGTAGCCAGACATAGCCAAATATTGTAGCGCCACATCACTAGCGGACATTTGAAATTTGCCGACTAGGACGGTCGGTTAACCGAGGTGGCGGTTAATCGGGGGTCGGATAATCGAGGCTCTACTGTACTTTTGAAGAATATAGTATAGAGTACAAAGAAGCAAACTAGTCTTCAAAATACAGTGAAAACTAGTAAAACTGAGAAATAAAATTATATAATGTAACAGCTATCATTTTGTAATTTAAAGTTATTATAACAATGATAAATGAGCTGCTCGGGAAAACAATGGTAAATGCCATTTCCATCTCCTAGATGTAATCTTTTGGCTCTTGTTCTAATTATATCATCATGAAATTAGATTGATTGCGAAACATTTTTTACTAAAAATTGATATTAGATTAAAATTATTCAAATTTATGGTTCAGTCATAATTTTATTTTTTTCTGTATTCTAAAACTTCTATTTTGGCATTTACCATTTTGTTTCCCAAACAGCTCGAATGAAAACAATCTGAGAACTTTCTGTTATTTTTAAAATGTACTTTTTAATAATGTGTGTTTTTCATTAGAGTAACTAATGTTATCTAATATGTATACATATTTCATATTATATGTGAAAACTTTATGTATAATACATGTTCTTTTTAACAGTGCTAATATTAGCTAATATTAATTTGTAATTTTTAGATTATTTTAACAATATAGGAATGTTCTGTTGGTTCAATACCTACAATTTGCAAAAACATATTGGTAACCTTATTGTTTTTAGAAGATAACAGCAACTAAAATTACACAAGACTTCAAATGAAAAGCTATGAATTAATTTAATTAAGTGATATAATTTTAATGTTTCAAATATATTACTGTTTTCAAATCACTTTTAAATTCTAATGTATGTTTAATACCATCCTTAGGAATTTTTTTTGAAATGTTCTTACAAACTTTGATATACAATATACATACTTTATGGATGTGTTTATTAAGTGGAAATCAATGAAATATTTTTGTACTTTGGTTTATTGAAATGGTTCAACCATATGAACTGTAAAAGTTTAGCATTTTTGATGTTATGAGATCTTTGTTGACACAATGAAGAAACTTAGATGTCTAATGCAAAATAACATTTTACCTGCCAACATGCAACTTTTATCAGAAGTCCATTTGTGGTGAATAATGTCCATTGTTCTAGTTTATTATTAGTTATTGTTGTTAATCTCTTACTGTGTGTAATTTATAAATTAAATTTTATCATAGGTATGTATGTATAGAAATATACTATACTATAGACATAGTATTTATAGATTTGGGTTGTTATGGTATTATCCATGGTTTTAGGCATCCACAGGAGACCATGTCTCCTGGAATAAGGGATCTACTATATATACTTCTTAATTTGGATATCATATAAACCAAATGAGTATAAGTACAGTACTGGATCAAATATCCAATAAACATGAGACTGAGTGGTGGTTTTTCTGGATATAGGCTAAATATATCCTTAAAATATAAAATAAACAATGGAAAGTAATAAATCAAAATGTATTTAAAACATACAAAAATAATATACAGTACTTCTAAAGTACAATCTATTTGATCATTATTAATATGCCCTTTTAATCATGATTATAAACGAAAATTATAAATTCTGACAAACAGTTTAACTATGATAGGATTGCCTGCACACAACAGCAATCTCACTAGAACTGGCATTGTGCTAAGTACTCATTACAGAAACCAAATAAAACAGTGTTTTTACTATACCAAATAAATATTTAGTATAGTAAAAGCAATTTATATTTAATGAATTATAAATGATCATGTTATATTTTCTGATTAAAATAAAATTTTATTTACAGAAATTGAAGTGCCAAACAGTATCTGTAGAAGTAAAAAAAGAACAGCATAAATATGTTATTGGTCCAAGAGGACAGACAATACAGGAAATTTTGGAACAAACTGATGTTTCTGTTGAAATGCCATCTCTAGATAGCCCATCTGAAACTGTTACGTTACGTGGTGAACAAGAAAAACTTGGACCGGCTCTTACTCTTGTATATGCAAAGGTAATATTTTATACATAAGTAATACTTGAAATAATTATCTCTTGAACTTTGAAATATTAACTCTGAATTGAAAATTTTTATTTCAGTAATAGTTTTAAATAGCTATACATGCCAAATATTAATAGAAAAAGATAATGTATACCATTGTCTGTCAACATTATGTAAAAATAATTTATTTTTCAAGTACTGTTGACAGTATATAAGCAATTTGAAAAAATGTTCATTGATGTTTGGATTTTTTTCTCTTGAATTCAAATGTTTTGTTCTCTATGAACAATTCTGCCTGAAGAGGACAGTTATATACTGTCAAAAGTAGTCATAAAATAAATTATTTTTTCATAATGCCAACAGACGCTAGTACAGTAAGACGTCACTTAATGCTGATTTGATATAATGTGGGCTGCTCAAAGCCCTCAAAGTTTATGCTGATTCAAATTATTGCGGCATCTCATTGATTATTCCCAAACACGAACCAATCAGCAAAAGGTGGCAATTTGTCGAAGCACTGTACTATCCTTAAATCTATGTTTGTTTGATGCAATTTTGGAAAAAAATATAACATCATGGATGCCATAGGCAATATCAACTTTGCTTGGCAAGAATTAATTGATAAATGCATGAACGAAGTGTGGAAGAAGTTATGACTGAAAGTATCCAAGAATTCTCAATGAGAAGAGCCTATTGCTGTATTGTTAGGTTGACCAAATTGTCAACCTAATCGATACAGCAGAACTAGAAGATGTAGATGAATGGTATATTGAGGAGTTACTGCAGGTTTCTGGTGAGTCTTACCAACGACGACCTTCAAGAACTGGCAGAACAAGGAATTCATGTAAAACTGGAAGATAGTGAATCTGAAAACAAAAAATCCAAAGAACTTGCTACAGATTTCCTTAGTAAAAGTTTGGTAATGATAACCAAAATTGTTGATCAAATTGTAGCGAATGATCCAGATTTTGAAAGGAGAGTGCAAAAGCAAGACAAGGCATTTGGATGTGATCTCTTGCTGCCGACATTTGCTTAACGAAAGAAAAAGAAAGTGACAAATGAAACTACATGACTTTATTACAAAAATCAAGAATTTTAGAAAAGCCAGGTCCTTCTTCACAAAAAATGAACTTTACATTTCTGTGCACATATGTTTGTGTTGTTTAACATATATTATTATACAAATTAATATAAAAATAACTTAAAATTAAAGTAAAATTTGTTTATTTTTGGTCGGGTGTTCCCCTTTCTCTATTTACTCTGTTAAAATGACCTTGTTTTAATGTTGTTTTTTTAGAGCTTTGCCATCTAGGAACGCATCCCTCACATTAAGCTGGGTCTTACTGTATATGTTATTTTTTATTTCGATAACAACTTTTAATTCAGAAGTTTTAATAATTTAATTCAAAATTATTCCTTTGGTTTAAAATTAGTTATATGTGTAATTAATAATTTTTAAATGTAAACTGCATTTTAAAATTCATTGAAATCACACTATAGAATACTCTGATATCAAAGGGATATTTATGTACTACAGATGATTTTTAGATTGTGTATATTTGTATTGTATTTTTGGTATGTTTCAAATAACATCATATTTTTTTCTTTTAAATGTACCAGTACATAGGATTATTGATGACACATCAGTTTCCAAAAGCTAGTCATATAGGGCATTTTATAAGATTTGAACTTTGTTCCAATTTTTAATTTTCTGTGATTCAAATTAAATAAATCTGATGATGACTGTTCAATATGGTCAAAAATTTAATTTATTTATTTATCATACAATTAAGGAAATGTTTGTGGATAATTGATTTTCACCCTCCCCATTTTTAACAATTATATCCACATTAAAAAAATATACAAATAATTCAACAATAATTGTGATAAAACAAAAAAATTAAAATAAAATATGTATAGTGTAATGAAAAATAATAGTAACAATAATACAACAATAACTAGTTATAATTAAAACATTGTTTGCTAATATTCATCATTATTTTACCATTAAAAATGAATAAATTAATAAAAATGTTTGTTTAGTTATTAAATATTTGTGAGATCAGCCAGGACGTAGATCTTAGTCTACGACACTTACGGCGCGCGATTGTGAGATCGGCTCTCGTAACGTTATATAGGAGGGCTGTTATATTTAGGAAAAGGGGATTCAAGACTGTGAGGTCTTTGTCCCAAATTGTCAGGGTCCCGACACCAGTTAATCAATCTTATTATACGCGGATTAACACGCGTATGAGATCCGATTCGGAATCAATTTAAGAGACATTTAAGTATATTTAACAAGAGTAAATTTAATAATTCAAAAACAAAACGAATACAAAAAATCGATGAACGACAATTAAGCGACAAGATATAGGCTAAGACTTATTCTATGCTAATGCGCGATCGAGAGAGAGAGCTCACAAAATCATTCTAAAATATACGACCTGTTTAGTTGTCGTTCGTCTTCATCTGTATTGGCAGAGGACACTTTGTAGAAAAGTTCATTTACTTCTTCGTATGGGAGATCACTATGTGCACAAATATAAAAGTATTCACTTCTACGTGCAGACTCGGGACTTAGTCTAAGTGACTCGTATAAGGGCGTTGGTCATCAGGAGGGAAACGTATGTGGAGTCTGGACACTTTGAACTCCTCGAATTCTGACTAATTTCCCTTATATCTGCTGAATTTCGACCAATCATCGTCCAGTAACTCTTTCATGAGAACGGACGAAAGGGGAACGAATGAGGGGTAACCATTTCCCATCTGAGTGAGATTTTAACCAGATAAGGGAAAGTCAGAGGATGTTCTCTTCTGTGAAAGGAAGTAACATCTGTTATCTGGGTTTTTCCCACATTAAAACAGTATTTTTCTCACCAAAAATGAAGTAATATTTGGTGACAATATTTAACATAATTAATAAAATATTAGCTTAGACCCAGGGGCCTTTCGGGTCTCACATATTGTTTATTTTGATGGAGTTTCAATGTATGTTGTTAGACTTATTATTTCCACCAGTATTATTGTATAGTTTTTGTAAATTGCATTTAACTATTAAGTTAACAAGACTAATAATTAGTTGAAATTATCTCACATGCCAGATGCATGTGAGATAATTTCAACTAGCATTGGCATTAATTTCAACTTAGGTTATCTGACTGTGTAGTTAAGTCTCAATAAATATATTTTTAAACAAATTTTATTCAATAGCAAAAATAATATAAAAAAAACAGTAGTCTTTGTAATGCCTACATCATTTGGATTGTAATTTTAATGGAAATGTATTTTAATACTATATAATAATTATCTAAACTAGTGCAAATATTATTGAGAAATACTTGTATATTTCTATAATACTAATGTAAATACTACTCATTGTTGATACTTGATACATTCAACTTTAACTTGATAATTTTAAACAATATATCATTTATATGTGAAGTCATAAAATCATGAATTACAAAAAAAGTTAAATTTAAGTGTAAATACAACAAATTGTGATTAAAATTCATTACATCAAAATCAACTCAGAAAATAGTCTGCATGATAATAGAAATGCCAATTTAAATTTTATTTCATTTTAGTATAATTCTTAATCTTTAAAAATACGAACAGCCTATTGTTGTAAATTGAAAAATATCATCTAAGTTGTATTAAATTACACAAATTGTTTTCATTGTAAACAAAGATTTGTTTAAATTACAAGCTTACTATCAACAGTTAATGTGAAAAATTAATTAGAATTTCACTTCTGTTTTATAGAATGAAAACAATGAAATGTGCAACAAATCATATGCAAGCAAAGGCAAATATTTTTAGAACAGCAATTATTATTAAAGCTTATTTGTGCTTTTATTTATTGAAACATTCAAAAAGAATTGTTACACTTATAATATAATTAGGCAGTATCTTTATATTCTTCTATATGAGGAGATTTAAATGTATAACAGCTTTAAGAAATTCATCTTTCCAATTGGCGGTAAATATTTTTTTACTAGCTAAGTTCAGTGTGTTGGAATACCAGTTCAATTTGTGAAATAGAAAAATTTGCAAGAGACAACATTATTATCAATAAATACATACAATGTTTACTCTTCTTTCAAGTTTTTAGCAATATTTTAAAAGTATTGACTTGCTAAAATTAAATGCAGGCTTATATGAAAGTGTTTGTTTTTGGCAAATGTATTTCTTTAAAATGTTGATCTCATTTTGTTAATTCTCAGATACAGTGGGTCCAATAATTTTTTTAACTAAAGTGTATTTTTTGTATAAGGACTAGCTTAATGCTTAATACATGAAGAAGAGGAAGTATAATACATAGATCTATGAGTATTGTGATATTTGTATTGTATTGTTGCTTAATATTTTCTAAAAGATTTAAGTTCATAAAACATGGAGTAAAATATTTAGTAATTAATTAATTAATCTTTATTATAAAATGATTAATTTTTTAGGCAAATAGTGTAGTAGTATTAGAAGTAGATGCACCAAGCTGGCTTCACAAATTTATAATAGGACGTAAAGGAGCTAATATTCGCCCATTTGCACAAGATTTTCCTAAGGTATTGCACATTTTTTAAATGATTTATAATTATACTTAAAACATTGCTATAACTGAATCTATTTTTTTTAGGTTCATGTGCAATTCACAGATGGACAAGACAAAATCAAAGTAGAAGGTCCAAGAGGTGAAGTTGAACAAGCACAAAAGAAATTAGAAGATATGACAAAAGATCTTCTGTCAAAAGTATCATGTGAGAAAATTACAGTTGATCCACGATATCATCGTCACATCATAGGAAAGAATGGAGCTAATAGTATGTGATGATTGATTGTTAAACAATGTTAAAAACATTATTTTTCATCTAATGTCAAATAAATTCATCAAATAGGAATTCTTTAGTGTTAAATTTTTTTTTTATTGTTGCATTTAGAAATGTTTCCTATAAATAATCACACTTTAAAATAAAAATGAAATGTTTGTTTTTAGTTAATAGATTGAAGCAAGAAACAGCTGTAGAAATTCAGATACCATCTGATAATGATAGTAGTGGAATAATATATATTGAAGGAAATCCAGCTGGAGTAGCTCATGCAAAAAAAGAATTATTGGATATGGTCCATAAAATGGTATTTAAACTTAACTTTTTTAAATCCATTCTGTAAGTTTGAAAATTTAGTACTGCCTTAATAATTTTTAGCAATAAAATAATTTAAAAGTGGATAAAAATTAAAAAGGAAAGTGTTGCAGTTTTATTGAACACTATTGTATTTTTATTGTTTGTATTCAGATTTGTTTCTTTGAAATTTTAGAACAAAAATATTTATGAAGGGTTATATTCTGGTTAACATTTTAATGTAGATTTGATTATAGACCTAAATAAACCAGAAAAAAAAAGCCAAAATTATGAAGCTTTGGTTCAAATATATTTTTGTGCATTTTAATTTTGGATGATGTTTCACAATTAAAGTAGTAATATTAATCAGAATTGAATTAAATGTGATAAAGTTCATTCTAATGATTATGAATAAATGAACTTACTGAACAATTTCTATATGATATAGGAAAATGAAGTAATAAAGGAAGTGATAGTTGAGCATAGATTTCATCGAACAATTATTGGTGCAAAAGGAGAAAAAGTGAAAGAAATAAGAGATCGCTTCAATCAGGTAAAAGTTACAGTATCTTAAAATAATGGTTTTATTCCTTTAGTTAATTTTGTACTGTGTAAACATTTAAACTTAAAGAATATAGAAATGTATATAAATGTGTGTATTTTCTTTAAAGTTAGTTATTAATATTTATTTAATGTTATGAAGATTATCAATTTATATTCATTTATTTAAATCATACAGTTTCAATACATATATGTGAATGAACTGTTTCTTACTGATGATGTGAAGAAATAAACATACATACATATATTATTTTTATTAGGTTTTTTAATTACCAATAGGTTATTTTGTATACTAATTCTTAATATTTTCTTTATTTATTTTGCCTACTATTTTTTTTAGTACTAAAATTACACTACTGAAATCTTCTGATTATATTTTCAATTAGATTATTTTATGATATAACATTTTCTATTCTTTATTAAAGACCAATAAAAATGAATATAAACACAGTAAAACTTGCCTAAATAGAAAAAAAATATATTTTTCAGAAGAGCAATTTTCTATGTTAAATTATACTATAAGCTGGAAACCTGTCCAATGCAGAAATGGAAGAGTTTTTTGGGTACAAAGAATATAACTTAACTTGGATATAAGAGAAAATCAAGATTTTACTTGTGGACAAATTAGTAAAATCACCTTTAGGTATAACAAACTGTATTCTGAGGATTTTGAATTTTATCAGAGAAACAGATTCAAATTGTGAGAGGACATATAAAAACATCTTTGTTAATATTAGTCTTTATTGGAATTAACTAGGGGCAAAATTGAATACATTCAAGAATCAAATGAGTTTTAGGACAAAATAAACTACAAATATAATTTGTGAAAACAAGGATAAATAGATAACACAGTGCTGAAAGTTTGTATGTGCAGAGTAGTTATCAGTTAACTAATACTGAGTATTTGAAAACAAATTGATTTAGCATTTTGATAATTACAGTGATCAAAATGAATAATCAGTTAGAGTATTAAAATTCCTTAGGAAATCAGTTTACAGAATAACTTTGTCTCTATTTCTGTAATGTGATTGGGATTTCTGATGGTAGAACAAGAGAAGAGTTTTTGTAATTGAATTTATGCTTGTTTCATACACCTCTTCAATTGATCACAAATGTAACAAGAGCATCATTGAACACTCTGAATTTATTAAATTCAACAACTTGTAATTGTATGAGAAATTATACTCTCCCATGCACATACAGTGAACTGTGTGGCTTGCAAGAGATCTTGGATATGCTTCTCTTTCCATTTGTAACAAAGCATATTAAATGAACAATTTTTATTAGCATTGTTTGAAGGGTCTTATTATTCTCAGGTCAAGGAGCTGAAGATGGCTTGTGTAGTTAAGTGGAAAAAACAAAGCTGCACATTTCTCATTTCTGGACATCACTGGGATGCGAGGGACAACAATCTAGAAATAGAACTATTAGGTTGTTGCAAATGAAATGGCTGATTTGTTTTACTTCTGACTCTGAACGTTTATTAATTTAATTTAAAACTTACATATTCAGTCAAATTGTGTCCATCAATATTAATACACTTTTCCCACGGCAATAGAAATGCATTAATGCCAATTTGATAGAAATCACAAGAATGAGAAGCCAAAAAGTCATTAAAGGTATTTTTTATTGCATCCTCTTCCTTGAAGACTTTCCTTGCCAAAAAACTGTCCAAATGTATTAAAAAAGGGATAGTCTGTTGGCAAAAAGTCTGGAGAACAAGGTGGATGGGGAAAAATTTCATTTGAATACTTCATTTTTGTGACAAATAACACTGGTCAACATGATTTCTGGCACACAGAAGAGAGAAATTTTGTCTAATACAACTTTTTGTACTGATTTCAAATATGGGATTGAAATTTTTCTATCACCCTCTGATTTTTTGTAATCATTGACTTAAATTTGGCTTCATGTCTGGCTGTCCACGGAAACTTTCCTGCACCTCTCCTCTTGCAGGATTCCCCCCTGCAAGAGTGGACAAAAGTGGAATATGTTTGTTATACCAACTTGTTACCCAGATGGCAGACTAATGAATTACACATCATGACTCATCACCCACAGCTCACTACTACATAGAATTTGTGGTATTTGTATTTAGTGAAGATGAATTCTGTTTGTCTTGTGGTTTATAGCTGTATGTGAGTATTTTGTTACCTTCTGAAGAAAATATGTCAAGGAAGTGTGTAAATGATCCTGATATGTTCTGTCATGTATGTGGAGAATTGACATTTTTACTTCAATGGCAACAGTTGACTCTTGTTAAAAAATGTTATGAACTGTATTTTAATTGTAAAGTGGGCAATCAGAATAAAAATTGGGCACCACATATCATATGTTTAACTTGTGTAAAACATCTGATAGTGTGCAAAAGGCTGTCCTCGACATTTGAGTTTTGCAGGACATATGGTCTGGCATGAATCACAAGATCATGTTACAGATTGTTATTTTTGTTTGACAACTATAAAAGGAATAACTAGTAAATTCAAACACAGTGAAGTACCCAAATTTACCATCTGCTATGAGATCAGTTCCTCATTGTAAGAATTTACTTGTACCAACTCTGCCAGAAAATTTCACTGGTGAAGATTTGAAGCATGAAGCAGTTGCAGAAGCTGAAAACAAGGAGAAATAAGATCCTGATTTTGAAGCTAGTGCCTCTACTTTTGAACCTCATTTATTAACTCAAGGTGAGCTAAATGATCTTGTTAGGGATCTGAACTTTTCTAAAAAACAGGCTGAACTTTTAGCTTTTTGACTGAAAGGTTGGAATTTACTTCATCAGACAACTAAGCTGTGTTTCTTTTGTAATCGTCAAGAAGAATTTCAAGACTACTATTCTGAAAAAAAGTGATTTAATTTATTGCAATAATAATAGTTCTGTAATGGATGTACTTGATCGTAAACATAATATCACAGAATGGAGACTTTCATTGATTCGTCTAAGATTAGTCTTAATGCTATGCTTTTACACAATGGAAACAAATTTCCTTCTGCGCCATTAGCTTATTCAACTAAAATGAAAGAAACCTATGAAAATATGAAACTTACTTGAACAAATTCATTATCAGAAGTACATTTGGTTCATATGTTGTGATTTAAAAGTCATTGCATTATTAATGCAATGACTTTTAAATCACAACATTGAATTATTAATGGGTTTGCAGTTTGGCTACACTAAATTTTGTTGTTTGAGTAAGTGGAACAGCAAAGACAAGAAAAATCATTACATCAAGAAGGAATGGCCATAGCATGAAATGTTTATTCCTGGCTGGAAAATTATTGTTTATGCCCCATTAGACAATACTGACATGATTCTTCTACCTCCACTTCATATAAAGTTAGGACTTTTCAGAAACTTTGTCAAGGCAATGAATGTAAACAATGCTGGATTTCATTATTTGGAGGAAAAATTTCCTCATATAAGTGATGCTAAAATCAAAGCTGGCATTTTCTTGGGCCCACAAATAAAAACTTTAATTAAAAATGAAAAATTTGAAAGCTTGTTAAGCACACTTGAAAAGTCAGCATGGAAGTCATTCAAAGATGTTGCACAAAATTTCTTGGGTAATCACAAAGCTCCAAATTACTGCAAAATTGTGAATGGACTCTTACAATTTTATGAAGAAATGGGATGTAATATGTCCCTCAAAATGCATTTCTTGGATTCCCACCTGGATTTCTTCCTCGACATTCTTGGTGCTATCAGTGATGAATATGGGGAACATTTCCATCAAGACATCTCTATCATGGAAAAGAGATATGAGGGCCAGTGGAATTCAAGAATTCTTGCTGATTACTGTTGGACACTCGATAGGGATTCTCCAAACACTAAACGTAGCAGAAGCTCCACATCTCATCATTTTAGACAAGATAAATAAGTGTATGCATGTTGTCTAAATAAATATGTTTTACATTTAAACTGGCTGTCACTAAAACCAGAAGTGATGGAGAAAAACTGTTTATATATTTGAAAACAGCATAAAATATTCTATTAGGATCGGGTATTTTCATTTGTGTGCCAAAAAAGCTTTCTTTTTGTTCCCCAGGTTAATTAAAGAACTGCAGACCTCCAAATGATGCTCCTTATCTCTCTCACTGAGTTTGTGTGGTACCCATTTGTCAGGCTTCTTGACTTTCCCTAACATGTTTATTCAATCATTTCTTGACATTTAATGTTCAATATGTTTAACCTTTCTGTGATTTCTCAGTCAAGCAATGTTCTGATTTAATGATAATCTTTAATTCTGATTTTTGAGATTTGTATTCCTAGAATGAAATTTTTTGAACCAATGCTTGGTGGCCTGCTTATTCATAGAACTTTCACCAAAAGTTTTATTGGTATTTCAGGCTGTTTTGGCTGCATTATGTTTCTGCTTATACTCATAAAAGAAAATTATTCAATTTCCTTTTTTCTATGCTGTCAGAAAATGTACTCTTAAACATGTGGAACTCACAATATAAATGAGATTACATTTTTAATTCACATATTATATGTGCACTCTTCCGAACATATCACTGTTCACATGAAAATAAGTTGAGCTACAACAGGAACTGCAAAAATGGAAAAAAAAATAATTTTGTACCATATGATTCCGATTTACACAGCTTTATTGTATTAGATAATCGTAGATAAATTTGTCAAAGTACTTAATTTTTAAAAACTTAAAATTGGTATTTAAAACTTAAGGACGAACATGTGATCAAAAGAATATGCAGTTTAATTTGAGAAAATTCCTTTGAGACAGTGTATAGTACTGAGCAATACAGTGCAGAAATTGAGTGCATGTGAAAATTTCTCTTTCAATTTCTGATGCACAGAAGAACATTTGAGATGATGTAAAACAGATGGATATGTTACATGTTCTCTGGTTGGAAGATGTTTAATTCTACCTGTGCTGTCCATTTCATCACTTTTTTATGGCTTGATTTTATCCAAGGTATAATCATTTGGAAGAACAAAGGAAGACCAAACAATACTTGATGTCTCCAGAAAGTTTAGAATTTCAGTGTTTCTAGATTTTGGTTAATATTTTGAAAAATTGAAACATGTATCAGATACTTACAGGAAATTGTTGTTGCTCTATATCAAATGGGAATACAAACATTGCTGATAGTGAAATGTAATTATTACAGTACTGCCAATCAGATTGTGGCTTGACTAGATGGAAGTACAGGTATACAAATATTACATCAAACCAACAAGACTTTGGGAAAAGAATGGCCTTTATGATGTATTCCTTTACCTAAATGTAGCTTGTTTTCAACGTTGCTATTTTCATAAAGGACTGCACACTAGTTACTGAGGAAATGTGCATTCCAATCTGTCCCATTCTAATTGTCAGCAGATCTGATATGAAGAAGGAACTGCTTGCAGTGATACAAATGCTGTGGAAACAGACACTGATGCTGGTATTATGATTTAGAATGGCATAATGCTCAATGGATATGCTGAACTAAAAGTACCTGCCAAATGGACTGTAACTAGTGAATGCTTTTTTTAAAAATGTATCCTGAGCTATGTTTGTTCCTTGGGCAAAGAATTCATTTTCATGCATCAAGTAAAGGAAACTTAGAGACATTAAAGGAATTGATGGAAATTGTCTTGTCTCTCTTTGACCTATAGTCTGGTGGACACACTGGGCAGGGTCCTCCTTATCTAGGGGAGGTGGCCTCATTGACCGATAAAGTGAGCGATACTCTCAATGGTAGAGCATTCTAGGGCGGTACAGACTGCACACAAAACTGTATGACAAAGTAAGAGGGTTGACCTTGAGAGCAAGGAAGGTTTGTACCATCAGAGCCTGAGCATATAACTTGACTAAATTTCTCAATGACAGTGAATGTCTCGAGACTTCAATGTCTAGTAGTCACCTTAGTATCATCATAGGTGACCGACTGCTTGTGATTAAGATAGTCTCTTGTACTCTGTAGTGCTATTTTGGCAGAGTAGGGTCAAATTACTTAGAGTTGTGATATGAAGCATGTATAATAATGCTCAGGCAACAGTAATAGTGGATGAACAATGGAAATTGAAGGTATTCATTGAATCAATTGGCTATAGTACTCTCCAAATTTGATCTCATAGAACATGGGTGAGATGTTCTGGGAGATGCACTACTGAAATGAATTTCATCATCAGAGTGTAACCCAGAATTTACCTATACTCTTGATTGAAATATAAATGAAATTAACACACAAAGTTTTGCATCAATAGATGCACAGCATGTCACAATCGTAAGAGAGCTGCAACACTGTCATGCACAGCTTGGATGGCTCTACTTAAGTGGTCATGCTGCGTTCTGTTTTGAAGTATTGGAGTAATGCACTTCCCAGGAAAATTTGCATATTTTTACAAAAAAGTTAATTTATTCTAAAGTTTTAGCATATTTTAGTAAGTTTACTGGAATTTACTATCAGATTTAGCTGTATAGCATCTGTCTTTTACAAGTCACATTGTAGTCCATCCTTAAGTTTTTGAATGAGTGTATATTCATAATTATAAAATGTAATAATTTTTTAGTATAACATTTATTCAATATTTTTATTTTAGGTAAATATCACATTTCCAGAAGCAGGTGTGAAAAGTGACAGAGTTATTATTCGTGGCGCTAAGCAAGATGTAGAGCAATGCTATCATTATATGTCTCAGATGAATAAAGAATTAGTAATGAACAATCATCAAGTTGAAGTTCCAATTTATAAACAGTTTCATAAGTTTATTATTGGAAAGGGAGGTTCCAATATTCGTAAGGTAATTAAAGTTTATGAAGTTTATTTTTCATTAATTTATATAATAATCAGTTTTCAAAAAAAATTTTGTGAAATATAAATAGGGTTTCTAAAAAGACAGATTCAAACTTCAGAAATATGTTAATGATTTTATTTTTAAAAATTTTAAAAATTATATATATATATATATAGGTACAGNATATTATATATATATTTATTTATAGTCTTTTGTCCAAAAAATTAACTTGGTAAAAATTAATTGTAAACAAAATTTTTTTTGATAATTGTGTGTGTTACATCTTCAGTATACAGATATTTTTTTCATGGATTTTTGTATTAATAGACAACACAAATTTATATATTGTCTTGAATATAATAATTGACAACCTTTTTGGAACAGAAAACTGGCTATATAAAATTAGTCCTGGAATAGAATCATTCCATGAATTCATTTTCAAGTTTTTTAACAATTTTTAAACGGTTGGTGTATTGATGAAGGACCATTCAACAAGAATCTGCTTTGCAATAATTTTTACATTAAAATTTTTACATTAATTGCTTTTTGCTAGTACTCACAGGTTTTGTTGGATGTCATGTACTAATTTTCAGGTAAACATGATGCAAATAAATAAAATACATATATGACATGAATAGGAAAAATATTCAGCACATTCTCTGCTTATTTCACTATGGATTTATTTGCATAAAAGTATGAGTAATAGTTATGCTAACTATTTGGTTTAAATGGCAAATGGATATGCAATTTGATAAAGATAATTTTCATTTCTCTCTTGCACCAAATATTTGATCCTTGTAAAGAAAAAACCTTCAGTTCTCAAAAATCTAAATGGCTAATAATCATAATGTTTTATTTAAGCTAGACATTATTGTATGTTTTAGTATGGTTATTAAAAGATAAGGTCTAAAACTGAAGGGAAAAAAAATATATTAAGAGTGTTTGGCTGAAAAGAGAGAGAATTTATACTATTTAAAGTAAAACTTGCATATAAATAAAATTTGCATTCAATTTTATTCCTAGATTATTTTACACCATTATTTTAAATAAAAGATGAGAATAATTTAATTTTATCTGTAAAACACAATAGTTTATATATAATAATTATTACATATTGATGTATTACATCATTTTTTTATACTTCTGTTGGAAAGAAGGTAAATTATAATATTTTTAAAATTATGAAATTTCCTTAAGATTAATAAAAATTGAAATGAAATTAACTTCAAATAAGAAATGGATATATAATTTTTTTTTTTATCTTAGTCATCATCTATAGTTCATTTTACAGAAAAGAAAAAAATAAATAATTATAGCTTTGAACTGTCATTCTAGATAATGTGATCACTGATAAAATTCAAAATATTTATTTCTAATGTTAAGTGCAATTTTTTAAACACCTGCTTTATTTATTAATCAATCAAAATCAATTTTAGTTTAAATTGCATATAATTCTTAATGTTCAAACTAAAGTTTTGCAAAACTCTGAGAATAGGTTTGATATGATTTCAAATTCACATTGATCATTCAATTCAGTTTGAATTTAAAATCTTATAATTTTAAACCCAAAACAATCTGAAATAATATGATTAGTCCCAGACATAATTTGATATCTTATATCCTGTTTATATTCTATCAAGTTTTATTCCAAATTTTTTCCCTCCCACAAAACAAAATATAGTAATAATAATGGAAAGGAGATGACTCACCATTCTATTTAATTAACAGTTTTAAAACTAGCTATTATTTACATTATCATGTACAGTAAAACCTGTCCAAAACAGAACTTGAATAAATGGAAACCTGTCTAAATGAAAAAAAATTATTTGGAACAGAGTGATTTTCTTTGTTAAATTCTGCTATAAGCTGGAAACCTGTCCAGCACAGAAATGGAAAAAGAACTAAAATCGCCTCCATGTATAACTGTCACTGCAGAACATGACAAACTATTCCAAGAACCATTTTGAACCTTGTCATAAAAATGAAGGTCATGTTACAAGGAAATGTAAGAACATAAGATCTTTGTTAATATTAGTCTTTATTGGAATTAGCTAGTAGCAAAATAACTATCAAGAATCAGGATGAATTTCCTGAATCAAATTCTTAAGAACAAGCAACAAATGTAATTCATGAAAGCATTGATAATAATGTAACACGATGCTGCCAATTTTCCTGGTGTGGAGAGTTAGTAACCAGCTAATATTGAGTATTCAAGAACAAGTTGATTAACATGTTGAAAATTAGAGATTGACATAAGGGATTAATTAGTGTTAAAATTCCTTGAAGTCAGGACACAGAATAACTTATTTTCTGTATTAGTATAATGCAATTAGAATTTCCAATGGCAGAGCAAGATACTAGTTTTTAACTCTTGAATTGGCTTATTCTAAGTAAAGATATTTGTAAAGATTGTATCTGAGAAGTGTTCAGATATTTAGCACAAATTCTTGAGAGAAATGAGAACTTTGTGCTATAGTATTCAATTTTTGTATTTGAATACTCCCATCTTTGTTGGAATCACATTGGATTAAGACTAATAATAAAATGTTTATATGCAAAAATGACTTTATTATAAAAAAAATGTATTGGTGTAGTTTAAACATTAAAAAAGAAAATACTAAAACCTGTTCAAAACAGAAAAAATATTTTAGTACTGTTTGATTTTTGTTTACATGTACTTAAATTTGTTTCTTTTTGATTTAATTTTTTTTTCTGTTTTAATTTCCATTATAAGTTTCATTACCAAATGCAACTTAATGATGTCATTAGTTAATCAAGAATAACACCAGCTTTTCTTATTTTTAGATACGTGAGGAAACGGATACAAAAATTGATCTTCCAGCTGAAGGTAGTGATTCTAATGTGATTACAATTACTGGAAAGAAAGAAAATGTATTAATGGCTCAACAGTTGATTTTAGATAAACAGAATGAATTGGTATGTATATGTATTTGGAATTTTGAAAAATAAGTTAATAAAGTAAAATTTTAGATTTTATTTTATTGGAAGTAATGTAAATATTAGAATAACTATTAAGAATAACTTTCAGTTTTGCATCTGTAGCAATCTAACTACAAACACTTTAGATTAGAAACTTAATTAGAATAATTAGATTATTGGCCATAAATGGAGGAGAATGCCTAAGCCTGTAAGATCACTTGCTGGACCTTTTCATATCTAAAATATGAATATTGAATGAATTGATCTAATGTTCTCCTAGCCATTGGCATAATTTTTTCAATTGTAATATTTATAGATAATTCTTTTGGCCATATTTCTATTTTGAACCTTCTAGGAATTGCCAAAATTTTATAACTCTTAAGCTTCGTCAGATAAATGTATTTTAGAATGACCTACTTTGATGCTGTATTTCTATTTTGTATAATTGTTACAGTTAAACTTCTTTAATTCAGTGGCCATTAATTTCAATTTTACACATTGAGAATTATTACTGATTGAAAAATGATTAATAAAATGCATCACAAAATACTTTGTAAATTCTTTATCTGTATTAATAACTAAATAGAATTTTGATAGTTACTAAATGTCAGATAAGACTATATTCATTATTTATCTAATTATAATGAACTAGCAGTTCCTGCATCTTCACCGCGGGGATTTTGCAAGCAAACCCCATTTATATTCAGTATTTCAATGACCATAGTAATTGTTATATAACACCTACCGCTAAGAATGATGAGAATTGCTGAGAATCAAATGAAATATTTTCAATTTGATCAATTTTCTAGAACATTTTCAATAGTTCTATAATTGAACCAATATGCAATAACAAATTTGAATTTAAAACGGTTCGAACATTTAAAAAATCGAAGTATATAAAAATATTTATAACAATGTCTGAAATGTTATCAATTTAATACACCTAAGTACTCAATGAAGATTATACGTAGTTGAAAACAAAAAAAATCACATCTAAAATAGTACAGTAGAAGCCGTTCTTCGGGTTAAGCCTTAATCCTCTCCCTCTCTTTCCGTGGGGAGAATTTCCAAAAATCTCTTCTTAGTGTGCATTTTCATGACATACCCTAACTGTGTACCAAATTTCACCTCTTTAGGTTCAGCGGTTTGCTCTGGATGATGATGAATCAGTCAATCACTCACTCAGTCAGTCGGGACAAATAATTTTATATATTTAGATGAGAAGCTGAAGTTTTGCTTAAATTAAACAAATCAATAAATAATAGTATTAAAGGACTAAAATTTATAACTGACATCAATATATTAATTAATAAAGTAATTAACTAAAATTCTTTTATATAGGAAAATGTTGTACAGCAAGACATTATCATTCCTGCAAAATTTCATAATTCTATCATTGGGGCCAAAGGGAAATTAATTCATTCAATCATGGAAGAATGTGGAGGTGTCTCAATACGTTTTCCTCAAGTAGGATCTGGCAGTGATAAAGTGTCAATTCGTGGACCGAAAGATGATGTCAATAGGGCAAAGAAGTTACTGGTTGAATTGAGTAATGAAAAGGTATATATTTTCTTATCACATTTGATATTTATTATGTAATACAGTTTTATGAAAAATTTTTATTTAAAATTGATATGTCTACTGAAACTGTCAGTCTGAAATTAAATACAAATATTGTTAGATTCTTATAATTTATTTTGTCCTTTTATTGAAATAGAATTAAATATACTCAATAAGAAATCTACACATACAATCATAATACTAAATAACTTTCTAATTTTAATATAAAATTATCTGAATTTTTTGTGTAATATCACACAATTTCACCTGTAAATTTGAGAATCAGTTTTATGATATTGTCTGTTATATCATCATTGATTATCTTATATGATATGTATTAACAATGCTGATATGTTTTGTAGATGCTTAATAATAAGGCTAAAGTGTATTATTTATGATAATTCTAAATATCCTCATAGATGGTTAAAAATAGATAATTTTTATATTTGTATAGAATCAATAAATAGAATAAACTAAAAGTTACTATGTTCACAATGCTATATAATATAATTTTATATTAAAATTTATTAAAACTATATTACTTAAGTCCATAATTTCAATAGCAGAATATAGGTAATAGTACAAAACTAAAGATTATTAATATTTATATATTAGCCATTTAATATTTTTTTTTATATTTATGTAATGAAATCAATATACACAGCTGCAAATATTTAACTTTTTTGTGAGGATGCTAGATTTTTCAAGATTCTTTTTTGGACCACTTTGAGGTTTCTTGTGTTAATATTTATTCACTTAATACAAGGCAAAAGCCCAATGTAAAATGTGCATATATACTAAATAAAAGTAAAATACAATAAACAACAAATTTAATTTAAACTATCAAGAATACAAAACCTAAAAATAAATTAATTTGAATGTTTCTCTCTCCATGAATATTTAATTTATATTGTTTAAATTATAATAAATTAAAAGAATCGTAATTTTTCAGCAAAATGCTGGATATACAGAAGAATTGAAAGCAAAGCCTGAACATTTGAAATTCTTAATAGGAAAGAATGGGGCCAATGTTAAGAAGGTTAGTAAAATATTTTGTGTGTTAATTTAGTTTATGTGTGTTTTTGATGTATTAAATAAATTACTTTGAAATATTTTAACAATTATCTCATTAATTTTTGTTATAGATAAGAGATAAAACAAAAGCAAGAATTATTTTTCCATCAGAAAAAGATGATGATCGTGAATCGATTGTTATTATTGGCAGAAAAGAGGAAGTGATGCAAGCAAAGAAAGAACTCCAGGATATGATTAAAGAATTGGTTAGAATATTTTAAAAATATGAATAGATTTGAGAGTTTAAAAAATTTATTCAAAAAATATTAATCATTATTTATTTTAGGACAAAGTAACAGAATTGAAAATGAGAGTAGATCCAAAATATCACCGTCATTTTGTAGCCAGGAGAGGAGAAGTACTGCGTCAGATAGAAGAAGATTATGGAGGTGTTGTTGTCAGTTTTCCACGAATTGGTAACAATAGTGATGAAGTTACTTTGAAAGGTCCAAAAGAATGTATTGAAGGTGCAAAACAGAGAATATTGGAGATTGTAGATGAATTGGTAAGTTAAAATGATTGTTTCACAATTACTGGTAAATTGATTGATTGTTAAAATATTAAAATATCTTGAAATTATTAGAACTTATATTCAGTTATCATTATCAATAATTTGAAGAAGTATAGTGAAATAATACTTGTATATAGTATAATTTTATAATGCTCTATAGCAGTGTTTCTCAACAAGGGCGATATAGCTCCCATATGGGCGTTTTTTCCATGTTGAGGGGCAATTAGTAACAATTTATATTTTGGGGGGCAAAAATAATTTTCTGGGTGATATAGTAAAACATTATATTAAGATTAATTAGATATTTTTTGTTATATCGTACAATAATTAAACAAATAACATTATACTAGTCACTAGTCTATTCAATGCAGTACGAATTTGGTGTTAGCCTTGGCCCTGGGCATTGGAGTTTTGAAGTGAAGGGGGCAATACTACGTAACAGTTTTATTGAAGGGGGCGACGATTTGTTAGAGGTTGAGAAACACTGCTCTACGGTATAAAATAAGAATAGACTAGTATCAATGCATAACATACAGGTATCCCTCATATAACAGTAGTTATGTTCCTAAAAAGTGCCATGTTATGTGAATGCATGCTATACAAAACAAAGGACTAATACAAAACTGGGTTAGGTTCCAAAAGTATATTATTCTTTTTTGTTACTATGAGAAATATGTTTATTAAAGCAATCAATAATTAACTAATAATCGCAATTAAAAGTACTGTATTATGTATTAATATTAATTTTTGTTAAACAAGGGCATTTCTTTTTACAAAGTATCATTGTAATATCAGCTTTTTTGTTGATCTTGATCAGAATATCAGCAATGTCATTTTCTTTTATTTTTACGATAAAAATTTTTTATATATGACAAAATAAAAATGTTATTAATCAAAAAATTTGTTCTAGTGAGTCATATTTGTTCAATTGAGGACTGAACATTTCTTTTTCCTCCGGAATTTGTGTTCAATACCAAATTGTTTGAATTAGAAACAGTTTTAGTACCAAGGTATTGCTGTATTTCGTATTTTTACGAATGATTAGCTATGGTTAAAAAAAATTTTAATAACACTTAAACATGTTTAAATAAACTTTACTAAATATGAAGATTAATGTATAAAAACCAAACACAGTGACACTCTTAAAGTCTGAAAGCAACATCATCATCATCATCATCATCATCATCATCATGTGGTTGATAGGAAAGATGGTGCAATTTTTTCTTCCTTGTCCTATCATTGTTCCTTGCATTACTAATCTGTATCATCTAGCACGGGTTGGCAACCTGCGGCTCGCGAGCCACATGTGGCTCTTTGGATGTGAAGCTGCGGCTCTTTAGTTCCATACGCAAATATTATTTATTTTATCAAAAAAAAAACATTTAAAAATCGTTCTGAATCAATTAACGAGGATTAGGCACTGATTCTATCTCTCAGCCACTTGTAATCGCTTTTCACCGCACCCCTCCCCCGTGACACGCGTCGTCACTGTCGTCAGTCCGTCGGAAGCTCTCGAATGACGCCGTCGTCGGATGTTTCTATTATCTAATTTGTTGTGAAAAACACTACTTATATATGAATAAATAGATATTTTTTTTTTTTTATGAATTAGTGTTTGTTTTTTTTTATCAAAAAACTTTATTTATGCGAGTACTATTTATTGTTGGCAAGAACAAATTTTGTGGCTCTTTAAAAACTTTGAAATTTTGTAAATTGTAATTTTGGCTCTTCCAACTCAAAAGGTTGCCGACCCCTGATCTAGCATCATCCTAATGATGATCTAAAATTATTTTCATATCATTTCATGATAATGTTTATATAATAATTGAATGATTCTGTTAATAAATCAAAAATATAATTTGTAGATAAGGGTTTATACTTAAGATGCTATTCATAATTTTTATCATTGTCATACAATTAATATTTTTTTAAAAATTATCTGTTGTTATGTATAATAAGAATTAAAGTAACTTTATTATAAGAGTAGATGAAATAGAATTTTATTTTAATGAAATGTAAAACAAACAATATATATACAGTAGAAGCTGCTTATTGTAATCAGTGTAATGTTATCAGAGTTAGCATATATAAAACATGCGTTAAACTTATAAAAACTGGTTTTTTAATTGCATTTTGGTTATAGTTACCATTCTTCAGGTAAATAGATATTTTTAAAGTATAGATATTTGTCATTTTATACCATCAGCTTCAACTTATAGTCAATAACACATGACCATATCAGTTATCTGTCACTTTTAAACATTAATCATTTTAATTATTTGTTTGAACTACTGTAGTTTAAATTGTTAGCACTTTCTTCAATTATACACAGAGTGCATTACTTTCATTGACAATAATAATTTTAAATAATAAATCTTCAACTTATGTTTTTGTTTTAATCTAACCTATTAATGTTAGTTTAATAAAACTTGAATTTTCATTAATCATAGTCTCATTTACCTCAACTTAATATAACCAGTCACTTATTGTAAAGTGACTATAATAATTGGATTGGATTTTGTTATATAGGATAATTAAATTTTGTTGAAAATGTGTAATATAAAAACTTTTTAAGAATTTGTGCTTTTGAAAATGATTTGGAATTAAATTTTATTTGCAGGCATCTCTAGTAACAATGGAATGCATCATACCACAGAAAGATCATAGAACAGTTATGGGGCCAAGAGGACAGAAAGTTCAGAATATAAAAACTGAATATAATGTTCAAATTAAATTTCCTGATAGAGAGTTCAGGCAAGATGGTAAGTAGAGATTGTCACTAAATTATCATAATAAAGGTTTTTTTAATTATAAATACAGTAGAGCGTCGATTTTCCGAATCAATTGGGGACTGGGGTTGTCCGGATAACTGATATTTCGGATAACTGATTTACGTACGAAAAAATAGTTTAATGTATCCGATGTCAAAATTTTTATCCGTTGCGTGTCGCTTTGCGTTGAATTTTCGTCAATGTTAAGCCTAACAAAGACTATTGTATCGTTAAAAATTATTTTTTTTATTTTGTACAAACAAAATAAATATATTGAAAAATATAAAAATAATAAAAAATTATACTTCAGATGTTAATTTAGTATCAAAAACGTAAAATATTTGAGTAGCCCAAGACATAGCCAAAGATTGAAGTGCCACAGCACTGGTGAAAATTTAAATTTGCCGACTGGAATTCTTTCGGATGATTGACTTTCAGAAAATCAACGCTCTACTGTACAAGTATTTTTTTAGTTTTTTAAAATTATTAAGAAAAATAATCTTCAATATGTTTAATTTAATTAGCATAGATTTTGGAAAAAATTATTTATATTTCAAAACTGTGTTAAAAGCAAAACATATGTTAAAATCATAAATTTAGATGTTTATTATGTAATGAATATCTGAAAGTAATTAGGCAAAACATTAGTATAGTAATACCTCAGTTTTCATTGACTTCAGTTATTGTCTGTTTCAGTTTTCATTGATTTTTTTTTTTTTCCAAAAAGTTTGTGCTCTCTTGATATATGACTGATTGAAGCTAGTTCGCCATCAATTTTAGCTTTGAAATTATCATTCTGCAGATGTTCATACAATGATATTTTCAATAAGTAATATAATGATTTAAATACTGAAAAAATACTATAAGGTTCCTGAAGCACTAGGCATTGCGTTTTTGCCTATACAGTTATGTAGGGCTGTTTATATCTTTCTATAAACTTTCAGAAGTGTCTTTAAAAATGAAAAATTTTTAGGCCATTCATTTATTCATCTATCATTGTGATTTTTTCCAGAAATTACTGAAGACATACCTCACTTTTTAGTTTTTTTTCATATTTATTTAATCTTTTCTTTTTCTTATATCTATAGCCTGTCCATCAAAAGATAACTTTTTAAAATAATTTTTCTTAAAGTTAGTCAGTCTTCTTGCTTATTAAGAGATATAACTGGATAATTACAGTTCTAATAGGCTACAAATTTTTTTTATTGCTACTAAGTAAATTTTGAGAGCTAAAATAAATTCAATAGTTTACATAATCAAGCTAGGGATATCAATTTAATGTTCCATTTTGCTAATGAGATTGAAACTAAAGATGACATTACTATCATTAAGCTTTGTTTCACTTTTGAAATTGTGCAGTATAGTAATTTTATATTAAAGTTGCAAGAAATGTTTTTGTCCTTTCTTAGGTCAACACCCATTATATATAAATATTTGAAAAATAGAACATCTAATAAGTATAAATAAATTAATATTTAATTTTTTGATTCAGATATTCTGGTTTATTATTACATTTATCGAGTGAAATTACATAAATGGAACATCTATTACCAACTTATTATGAATGGACAACAATTTTAAACTGACAAATAGACATGGATGTGTAATATTTATGTTTAAAATATAATAACAAAACATTTTAAGTGAACTTAAAAGAGCTAATTAATTAAAATAGTTTTCAAAAGTTTTGTGAAATTTCTTTTAATTGGTTACTACAAAATAATTTTTCTTATTTATTACACTATAGCATAATGACACTGCAAATAGTAACATCTTAATGAATTAAAATTTAGTTTTCTGTGTTGATAGGAAATTACTGTAGAAGTAGACATATGAATTAGTTGGAACCTATCCCAATTTATCTTTTGTTTGTTGATGCTGTCGAAACTGAGGGAGCAAACAGTAATAATATGGATGATGATGATGATAATAATAATAATAATCTGAAATATGAGTATATTTGAAATTGCATTTGTAGCTTCTTTTAAAGAAGATTCATGAAAGAATTATGACACATCTTTACTCAGACTAAATATTGATTTATACTTTTTGAATGCAGTTTTTACAGAACTTGAGAAATATATTTTATTTTTTTTCTAATTATCAATTAGAAAAAAACCCTTTTTCTTCAAATTTCTTCAAACCAATGTAAAAGGGTACTTCTATGGTGTATGAAAAAAAGGATTTGATAGACTCAAAAATTAATTAAATAATTTTTTGTACATAGTCTGAATTTCTAATTGATAATTAGAAGAAAAATATCCTGAGTTCATCATGAAATTGTAAATATATTTTATTTAAAACTTGTTTTAACTAGTAACAAATTTATGTTTAATATGTAGAATTATTAATTTATGATATAGGTGCTAATATATAAATATTATTGTTTTAAAATAGATAGTTTTTCAAATGAAGAAGAATTGACAATGAATGGAGAATTTAACTATTCTATGAATGGGCCTGATGAAAAGCCAAGGAAGAGCGATATAATTCTTATAACTGGTAAAAAAGAAAACTGTCAAGCAGCTCACGATGCTCTTCAGGTAAGTGTGATTGATATTTTTGTTTACTACATGACATTGGTTATGAACCCAAAACATATCATGGGTAAATTTGTAGACTAGTATAAAGTGTGTGCGCGCGTTTGTGTAATATATTTTGTATGTATGTATATATAATTATAGTTGTTTGTCATTGATTATTTTTTCAGTTTTTGAAGCTAAAAAAAGTGCCTACAAGATATGGAGTAATGCTTTCATTAATTGATTTCTTTGCTCATTATTGGCTATAAAAAACTGTTTATTCTAAAATTTATATTTTTATTGAATAGTTTCTTTGAATCTAATTTTTGTGATCTATAGTAAAAATTCTTAATGAATTGATGGTTGAGAAACTGCTATACTGGTATTCAAAAGTAAAGCATGTTTAATTATATCAACTGATATTTCAAAAATTATTAGTCAAAAAATTTTGAAAATTGAGATGTTCATGAAACAGAGCTAAGAATAAACAAAACAATTAATTTGCATAAATTTTAACTATAATTTTTTTATTTTGCATAATTAAAGTAATAAAAATTTAAGTAATCATTCAAAATTTGTAAAGTAGTACATTTGCAGAAATATTGTGCATTAATAAAGTGTGGGAACATCTTATAGCTATACATGCTCCTCAGCCAATATTTTGATTATCAGATTGTTGATCATTTTTAATAATATCCACCCTTCAAGAAGAGCCATATGTATTTCCATAATGTTTTTGCTTGAAGGTTGATATGATGCAATTCATTGCAATATAGAATTTCACATACATTTTACAAGATTCATATTCATAGATATTTCTGGCCACTCTCTATGATGAATATAGTGTTTTACAAGAAATTGCTCACTATCTGTCCTATATTCATGTCCATTATCATCCATAAATGTGAAACACTTCTGAAAAGTCTTAATCCCTACATAAGACTTTTCAGGAGTTCATCTTTATATCTTTAATTATTAATTTGATGTTACTACTGGTAAAATAATTATAAAATAGATTTTTAGAATAATATAACAAGATTCTATAAATATCATTTTTGACTTTGGAAGATTTTTTAGTTTTTTAGATAATTCTAAAAGAAATGCACAAAATTGTCAAAAAAGAATATTTATTTATTTTTAATTTTCTAATTATCTGATATTTATACCAATATTTTTTACTTACTTTATACTCAATCTTCTGTAATTCTGAAATTGTCATAAAGATTTATAACTTAGTTTTTCAATTCTTTTAATTATTAATGAAAATAAGTCAATTTTCAAAATGTTTGTATTTATGTGGAAAAAGGCTATCCAAAATCAATAAGACAAGAAAAATTAAATTAATATTAGAAATTTGAAAAAATTGTTAATAATAAAGCAATAAGGACAACTATTTATACCTTTTTTGTTGTTCTAAAAAAAAGAAGATTGAACTAACATAAGGATGATGCAATGACTTTAGTTTTTATGATATGCATTTAGTGTATCTATAGCATTCCTTTTGTCCAATTGGTGACTGTAAAGGAATGCTATAGACCAATGGTTCCCAATTAGTGGTACATGTATCCCCAGGGGTACGCGAAATTGCATGAAGGGGTATATGCGGCAATCTAAAATCGGTCGATTTAAAATGTAAATGCATGAGATGAAGCAATCAAAAAAATAATGGGTGGACCATCAAAATTCAGCAATTTACATGATGTCGAATGCACAAATTCGTTTATTTCTAACTAAAAATATTCTCGAAATTTCATCAAAAAAATGCATTTGTGACAATACCTAAATGAAATTCTTACGCAAGAAACAAAAATTGTACAATTAACACAATTTGTGTTAATTGTACAATTATCATTATCATCATGTCAGCGAAGTGACAATAAAATATTTACTACCAATTTGCAAAACCTACCTCTGCAAGAGCGGATTTTTTGCCATGACAAACATGGAAACAACATCGTCACCGACTTTAACTCAAAGATGACTCAAGACTGAAGCTGACCAAAAAGCAACCAGATTTTACAAAGTTGTACAAAGAAAATCGTGCACATTTGTCACATTAAAATTAAATAATCTTATGTTATTTTCATTATTATTAGAATTGTATTTTAAAGGTAATAAATGTAAAAAAACCATATTCTATTTATCATTTGCTGTCTACCCACAGCTTCGCCTGCATTATATCGAATATTCTCGTGGAAGTAAGATATTTTCTTGGAGTAAAATGTAGCCTATGTTTATCTCCAACATTAAGCTATCTCTGTGCCAAATTTTATTAAAACCTGTTCAGCGGTTTAGACGTGAAAAAGTGACTGACAAACAGAATTACCTTCAAATTTATATTAGTATGGATTAATATGAATTTCTGCTATAAGGGATATGCGAGTTTGAGCTCTTTCTTGAAGTGGTATGCAGGAAAAACTAATTGGGAACCATTGCTATAGGCACTAAATGCATATTATCATAAAATTGTTGTAAAAATTAAAGTTGTTGCATCAGATCATGCATTGGTTTTGTCTTCTTTTTTAGAACCAATAAAGATAAGTAGAGCAGATAAAGAATTTAATAGTGCTGCTCTCCACAATTAAAAACTGTTTATGTATTAACTAAGTTTTTAATTATGTGCATAATATAAAATTCATGTTTTTGTGAAATATTTTAAATAATAGTTCATGAAAAGGGGGGTTGCTTTTTCTTTATCTTCCAATTTCTTTTGTTAAAGCATTTCTTATTAAAAAAGAAGTTATTTTTATAATTTATTCTTTATTAACAATTAACGTCTGATAAATTATTTTAAATTTAGTTGTTGAAATGTTTGTATTAAAATACACAGAGAGAAGAGATGACAGAAATGGTCTTAGTAGGAAGTATCACTTTCAGTTTAAATATTATATAACATAATAAATGTAAAACTCAAAAAGAATTTAAATTAACAATAGCTTCTCAACCAGTATTAATTCAAATTGCATATTCTAATTAAGCAGTTTTTGGGTTTTATTAGAAAAATTGAAAAAAAAAATTGAAATTTGAACTGTTTCATTGTATTTTATATAAAAATTTGAAAAAAGCCCACAAATTAGTTTCAGTGACTATTAAAGTTCAGTTTAGCAAGAAATATGTTGTTACTGCCTACAGATCAATTTATCATTAAAAACACAACACATTTATTTTCATGTTTGGTTATTTTCATTTTGGAAATTATAAATAACTGTGTAGCAGGCTTAAATCAACTTTGGGATTGTTACTACTACATCATTGTCTCTTCAATCAAATTTACTTATGGCTTGCTACATTAAAACCTAATGGCATGAATATTTTGAAAGTATTTAAGAAATTTTTTCCATCTACTTTCAATGTTTCTTTGAAATGGAATTATTCTTTTGAAGTAAATCTTTTAAGCTGTTTTGTTCTTGATTGCTCTAATAAAAATTACTTTCTTCATCATTTGAGAGAGATATTTTAATCTTTAAAAATATTACTGTAAAATATGGAATGAGTCTATACAAAGATACAGAAATAAAGCAAAAATTATTATATTAAGAGAAGACTGAAAGAAAACAATGTAATTTGTTGATGCCTCAATGGAAGCAATTATTTACCATTTAAACTACTACATGTAATTTTCAAACATGTTCATGGTTCTCTTAAGATAACCCAAGCATTGCCAGATGCATTAGCTAGTACAGTAGATCATCGATTATCCAACTCAATTGGGGACTGGGGTTGGTCAGATAACTGAAAAAACAGATAACCGAAAAATATGAAAAAATACATTATTAGTGTAGTATATTAGTATATCTCATGTAATTAGTATATTAGTATATCGCTATTAACCTACTTTGCGTTGAATTTTCATCGATGTTAAGCCTAACAAAAATTAAAAATAATAATAATAATCGTCACTATTGTATCGTTAAAAATTAGAAAATTAAGCTTCGTTTAAATACTGGCTCCCTTTCATGGTCGAGCCATATTGCCAGCTAAAAACACGTAAAAATCCTATTACAGTAGCCAAGACATAGCCAAATATTGTAGCACCACATCACTAGCGGACATTTGAATTTGCCAACTAGAATGGTCGGTTAACTGATGTGACAGTTAATCAGGGGTCAGATAATTGATGCTCTACTGTATTTTTATATTCATATTTATATTTGTTATATACATTTGGAATTTTATGGTAATTTTATTGTTATATTGTTTAACTATAGTATGTTTATATTAATTAATACAAACACTTTGTTATATCATTCAGAAAAAAGTTTATGCATATTTGTTAATTGCTACTTCAGCTTAAAAATATTAAACAATATATTTTTTTATTTTTAAAATTTTGCTGGATGTAAAAATTTTTCAATAAATAAAAAGACAGTCAATTCCAAAAAATTTTTGTTAAAACTTTGGTCGATCACCTTTTATTTCCGTTAAAATTTCAGGATAAACTTCAGCGACCGGACCTTCCTTTTTAGGCTACACGGTCGCCTATAAACAGTCCTTTAAAATACAGAAATAATCCAATTTAAGCATTAAAACTTGTAAAAAAAGTTGTAAAAAATTGGAATTGGTGATCTTTCGACGTCTTTAGGTTTTCATCCTTCTTCCATTCGGGAGTTTCGGATCCTTATATTTACTCAAGAAATGCGCTGTTAAATGTAAATTGTCCTTATTCTCCTCCTGGCGGCGACTTATTACAAAAATTTTTCTATTTTTAATTATATTCTTTTATTTTGTTATATTATAATTAGGTCTTTTTTTTTAATTCTGAACAGTAAAAAATTTATTTTTTTTAAACTGACTTTATACTTCTGTTCAACTGATATTATGGGAAAATAATTCAAAAGAAAACTTATATTTTATTGTATTTTTACATAATTTTATTATTTTTTAATAGGCTCTAGTACCTATTAGCATTGATGTAGAAATACCATATGATTTCCATCGTTATATCATTGGCCAGAAAGGAAAGGATGTACGTGAAATGATGAATAAATATGATGTTAATATAGAAATTCCTAGACAGACAGAGCAAAGTGATGTTATCAAAATCAGAGGGTCTCCTGTAAATGTTGAAAATGCTAAAACTGCTTTATTAGAAAGAGCTCAACAATTAGAAGAAGAAAAACAAGATAGGGTATGTTTTAAATTTAATTTTTACATGTTTTTCATTAAAATTTTGAATACTTGTGATCAGTACTTATTTTTTTTGTCACTAATAGTAATTTTTATTTCACGAATGATTAAATTTCATTTTATATGTGTTTTTAAAAAAGCTTGTGGGTAATAATTTTCAAAAATGAAATCTGAAATTTTTTAAATATTTGATAATTATTTGAAATAATATAAACTTATTGTTTTAAATTGTAAAATTTTTAAAGAAAAATCTAAAATGATTTTTTACAGTTAATGATTACTTTTTATTTAAATTTGTTGTTATATTTTTTTAGTTACTTCGCAGTTATAATCTTACTGTTGAAGTTGATCCAACGTATCTTCCAAAGATAATTGGGCGTAAAGGTGCTGTAATTAATAAGATCAGAAATGATCATAAAGTTCAGATTCAGTTTCCTGAACGTGGTGAATCTAATGATAATATCATAACAATAACTGGCTATGAAAGAGATGCTGAAGCTGCTCGTGATGACATTTTAAAAATAGTACACGAATTGGTAAGTTATTCAAATATTATTTTAAAACAAAAAAAAAATTTGAAAATTTATGTAGTTTATTAGATAAAATACAACTAAATAAAGTAATTTTCAATAGTCTTTTCTTAAAGCTACTGAATTTTAATATTAAATTATTTTAATATAGCAGTCTAAAGAAAACAAACAATATGTTATTACAAATTTCAAGGAAATTCAAAGTAATAACACACTGCAATTTTTGCTAGATGTTTCTGCATAAAGCATTGATCAATTTTTTTGTCAATGCTTTTAGATTTATTATTTTCAGATGGCATTCGTTTTTCCCCCCTTATTAAAATGATTTTCCTTAACAAATTTAATTTGAAAACATTTTAGCCTGCTTATAATCATGATTGAAACATATAATGTAAAAGAAATTTGTTAAAGTATTTAATATGAAATTTTTTCAGTTTAAGTCTGTTTTTAAAATACATTTATAAGATTACACTGGTTTTTTTTAATTAATATAATTCAGAAAAATTATTCAAGAAAATCTTAATTCAAAATTATAAGGAAAGAATTACTTCTGTCAAAATTAAACTGAAAATAATCAATTTATTTTATTTTATATATAAATTTTTATATGTTATTTTATATATAACATACAATTAAGATTACAATAATATCCCGAACTTATGCAATAGGTGTGACTGAGCGATAACCACGTAAGTCGGGGTATAATTTCGCATATAAATAAATACAAATAATTTTTAATTGGGTCTGGAGACTAAAGAAAACAATAATTTAGAAAAAAATGTTTAATAAAGATAATACATATGTATAACAAATTATATTATTATACAATTTTTCACATTTACTTGATTTTTATTAATTAATTTTTAATATAATTTTAACATAAACAATGTTAAAATTATTAAACATTTTAACACCATAATTTTAACATTGTTTCCATAAAATAACGTGATGTTTACGAATGATGCTTGAATTTAAAGATTGAGCATTTTTTTACAGCTTTGAGAATTTTTTATTTATCTTTTATAATTGTTCTGACTGTCGATTCCGGTAGATCAAACTTCTTTGCCAATTCACAAATTTTCATTTTTGTATCGAAGTCTTTAATAATGGGTACGTTCGTAAAGTCAAACGAGTTAAACGCGTTAGTAACGAATCGTTCGAAAAGTCTAACGAAATAGGAATAACGATGACGTCATTCTCGTTTAACTCGTTCGACTTTACGAACATACCCAATGTTAACTTTACATTCCAAAGATAAAGTTTTTCTTTTCTTGTTTGATGCAGAAGAATTAGTTCTACTTCGTTTGGATGACATAGTAGAGTCTCTCAAGTCTCCGTAGATATAACAAACACAGAAATAAATAACACAAAATAAATTGTAGCTATATGTCGATTCCATGCAACACGTCTGAACATGTAAGCTGAACAATGATATGGGGGGAATGAGTAATCAAGAGTTGCGTGGCACTCAAACAAAAGACGAATCAATTTGTCTTTTGTTTGAGTGCCAAGCAACTCTTGATTACTTGATTACTCTTGATTTGAAAATTGCGTAACTCTGGGTTTGCATAAGTCGGGGTAGCGTAAGTCGAGATATTACTGTACCATGAAAATTTTATTATGTTATATTGCTAGCATGCCAAACATGTTGTTTTACATTATGTTATTAACATATAATAATCAAACAGCATTATTATTGCAGGAATAATTTAGTAGAAAAACAAATATACTTTTTAATGTTTGAGATTATTTCCAAGTAGAGTTTTTTTTACCTGCAAAAAAAATTGGATTATACTTTGAGTTTGCAAGTGTTATAAATTGATTTTTATTCAAGCTGTTTTTATACTAAACAGATTATAGGAAATAACTATTTAATTGGAAGAATAAATAGTCTAAATGAATTTAAAAGCATAAAAATTAATTGCTCTATTTTGTCTATTGTTGCTGTCTTCATAATTATTTTATCATATCTTATTTTTAATTTACAATTATATTTGATTAAATTATATTACAAGGTTATTCAACATAAATTATATTAGCAGTTGTATTTATTTTTAAAATAGGCTAATAAAAATACATCAATTTTGATCAAGACTGACAACTGATAAATAATTAATATTAATTCATAGCCACTAGTATGAGAAAAGAGTATAACATGACTAGCACCAAGCTTTCTTTCCCCCTCTCTGATAATTGAGTACTCATTTTAAAGCAGGCCTGGCCAACTCAAATCTGTGGGTTGCTTTGAAATTTACAATTCATTTAGGGCTGCAGACAGAGGTTAAGACAAAAAAATTTTTTAAGATTTATTTTACTCATAAAAGAATATAAAATGGTTAAGTCTACATATATTTAAAATAAATAACTACAACAGGCCCTAATCAAAATCTTGTTAAATAAAAATTGACATGCTATAAATCAGTGGTGATCAAATTTGTGCAAACCACTACTGTCAAAATTTTGATTTGTGTAGGGATTTTCATCTATCAGAATTTTTATCCCGTTGATATTTTGAATTGGACTGTTACAATACATTGAAAAACCTTAAATAGCTAAGTGCAAAATACAGCATCATTTTATATATAAACATTTGGTATAAAGTTACATGATTAGTGAATATAGCAATAAATGAAGGTAAAAAAAATATAATTAAATTATAAAAAATGATTTCTTATATGTTTGTGAAATGTTTTTATATATACAGCTAAATATATATATATAAAAACATTTTTTCTTACTATCTGTATGCTACACAAACTTTTAGCTTTTTTTCATATAATATAAACAAAATCCTAAGATGAAATGCAGTAAAATAGGTCACTAAAAGTAATATTTCTGGTGGCAAATAATATAGTTAAAGCTTGAACATGATAACCACATATATGAAATGTAGAGAGTGTATTGAAATTATGAATGGATATGGAGTTATGTATTTATTTTAATCAATCGTATGAAACAAGCATTATGTTTCTGGATATTTAGTGGAACATAAAAAGTAATAATCTACAGTACACCACAGGTAAATGACATTGTACCATAAATAAGTACTGTAACAAAATTTGTTTGTCACTTATGATGATAATTATTTAATGCCACTAAAAACTGGTATCAGAAATGCTTATTATAATGCTTTCAGTAATTACAAATAATTATTAATTTAGTTAGCCTTTTTTATCATTTGCTGTTGAATCAGAAAATAATTTTTGTAATAAATTTAATTTTAAAAAACTGCTAAGAGTGCTGGGCTTTCCTAGCACTGGAACAGGAGTTAAAATTTTATATCGAAGTAAAATTGAAATGAAGCCTCAGGATCATATAGTGCTAACCCACAGTTCATGGCATTCTGGGGTATACCATTATGAATAATGCACCCTAGCATCAGTACACATCCATATCAGCTGGAGAAAAAGTACACTGGGACATTGCTGATTGCAAAAAATAAATGATATGTCCCTGATATGCATTCCTGAAGCATATCAAACTTTCTATTACCATACCAAGGCAGATAACACTGTTCTTCATGTGGAAAATATTGATGAATAATACCAAGTAAAATAAAATAATGGTAAACAAAAATATTAATTGGAAATAAATATTTTTTAGGCTTTTTTTTTTTTTTATTAAACAATGCTGAGAGAATGCAAAAATTCTTGTAGACATGGTATTGATTACCACATTACCTTGATCTGAAAAATCTTTCTTGTGGGATTTTTTTATTAGATAATCATAATCTTTTTTTGTTCAACCATATCTACAGGCAAAGTTCAGAGAGCAAAAATATTAATAGAGACCTATTCTTATGATATTAGGATTTCAAAAAAAAATTCACTCAATTACCTCAGAAACATGATTCTGAAGGTTAGCATTATATGTCTCCAAGGACTTCAAATAGTAAAAGCTTAAAAGGAATAATTTTGTTTAATTATGAAAAATTTCTTTTTTAAATATATATTTAAGTTTAAAAAAATACTGATATATTAGTTGAAAGTTAAAATTGTGTATGATGAATTGTTATGAGATTTTGTTTAAAAAATAATTTTTATATTATTTATTATTATAAAAATGTAAAAAGCTTAATTTTGAGGGTAGAAATGAGTTTTTAAAACTATTGTAAATGCCAAAAATAAGTAAAATTTTAAGTCTGACATTACTCAAGATATGTCATATGACCCTCTCTATCTCTTAACCTGCTTGACCTTTAACTAACGAGATTTAATAGCATCAATACCTCGTATCTAGAAATAGTCTTAAGTTTCAAAATTATTGATTCATCCAGCTCTGAGATACAATACAAAATAGATATATGCCTTTGAACACAGTGTTGTAAACAGATGTTTTTTCATTTTGGATTCTTGGAGTGTCAAACATCAAAAAATGGAAAAAAACAAAGGTGTCAAAATTTGACCTACATTATATTCTATAACGGCCAGAAAAGTAAAAATATTTATTATCAATATTTATTCATATAATTTTTTTCAGAAAATAATGCTTATTGTCTTACACTTTAATGCTTTTTCTGTTTTGTAATTGATAGCATGTGTATATGTTGTGCTACTGAATTCAAATACTCTGCTTAACCATTAGCATTTATAAGCAAATGTTATATTTTTTGACATTGAGTAAATGACATAAATGAAACACAAAATAAGAAATATTTGAAAATATTTTTTATAAATTGATATAACTTAATGGCTGAGACACTGATGAGATAAGTAAATTAATTAAAATATCAAAACAGTAAAAAGTGTTTTCTTTGTAGTCATTTATGTATGATTATTTCTATACACTACTACATTTTATGATCTAGACAAGAAACTTTTTGAGCCTGTATGCATATTGTAAGCATACTTAGCTTTAAAGATGTTTGTGTGTGCCAAAGTTTTAGACTTCGAATAATGATATTTAAAGAAATTAAATGAATATACTTTAATTAGAATAAATGTAAAAAAAAGCTGATTGAAAAAGGATGATCAGGTGATAACCAAAAGGATGATTGAAAAGACAGA